ACACTGTCGGCACTCACTTGTGTTACATACCTATGATCACTATTATCTTTATCTTTGCGCACAAGCAAAGTTGACTGGTGCTCGAGGTTGCTTTCGAAATATTTGACGATCTCAAGGTGACAGGTAGGACAGATAGCGCCGGAGCTGGTCGTTTGTATAATTTAGGGCGAGAATATATCAGCTCTGTGGTAGAAGTGGTAAAACGGCTAGTGAAAGGGGGGCAAAACGCAGACGGCCCAGGACGTCGTTAGGTCTAACGGATCGGGAAACGACTATTAACGATCTTGGAGTTTTTGAGTCTGATAAAAGCTAAATGTGAATTTTCGCATTTTTTCTCCCATTGAATCGATTCCAGTGAGAAATGGAAAAGAAAGACATATGGTTGACGCTCACTGAAGTAGCGGACGTCCTACACCCTTCAGTGTAATTTCCTGTGCCTGGAATTCACTGATAAAGCATGTTGCGCCCAGTCTTCTTCGTGAAAAAAGGTTGAATTGCAGTTTTGCCATTCTATCGGTGAAAATACTATTTATACGGTTACATAGAACGACTTCGGTGGGGCTTATGTTTTGCCAGAGATGGTTGTAGCGACCGATCACGGAAATAGTTTTGACAGATGTGGGTTTTGAAGCGGCGTGACGTAAGCAGCCTACCGAAGTTTGCCTTTGACGTCTAATATAGCCGTCTGCCTGGTAATATCGCGCCAGGAGCTGACTCTACGGATGATTCCAGCTTGGGCAAGTCAGTGTTCTTTGCCTTCAATATTTTTGAGCAGTGCAGGTATTTGAATACTACAGCGTTAATATAAAGAGTAACCTAATAATTTACTTTTTCTTTCCAACCAAAATTTGCCACCTTTTATAATACGTTTGTTGGACTCGAAGGCCATGTTCGAAAAGGAAAAGGGGCTCCGATTAATAAAAGCGTTTATTTTTGGCAAGGTTTAATTGCTTAGGTTAATACCGAGGATAATGTTCAGTTGTATTTGCACGACTTCATAACGGCGTCAATGGGGATTTGCAATAGTTATTTTTCATTCCAAAATATCCCGAGTGACATAGGACATTTTAAATGATCAGTATACAAAAGATCCCGACATCAAATACATGGCTAGGAGAGAAATGAGGACACACATAGGACATCCCCCAGTGAGCTTGAGTGTCTATTGATTCTATTGGGGTTAGATAATTGCTCCGTTAGATGACTGTTCCGTCAGGCAAACGTGTTATTATCGATATCATAGTTATTTATACTAGCCACTGCTTAAGGTCTTATTGAAAACTGTGAAATTCAATGATAAACGCAAGGTCCTGTTTCACACGTCTGATCTGCTCAGCATCGAATAGGACCCATGAAATATGTTGTTATTAATTCTTCGAATTATTTCTTACAATAGAATTAACCATAACGGACTTTGTACGAATGGAAGAGATCCCATCATATGTGGACTTCATAGCCGAATAGACGACTATGTCTTCCTTAATTGCTATACAGGACTAAATGTAGCCTATTCTCCTCTCAGAAACTATGGATATTCAATCATCAAGTCAGGATATTAAAGGCATAAAGTTCGACCACGGACAATATATTATGGATTTTGCTCATATATATACAAACACACACCAGTGGGTACATCTAGTAGGACGCAAAAAATACAGTCACGTGTGGCCTTCTGTAACCGAAGTTACGAGGACAACTTCACAATATCGAGAAGAAAGAAATAGACCGATTTCTGTGAATCAACTTAAGCACGAACCCAGCGCGGAAATTTACAGTGGCCATGCCTTTCATTTATGTGTCTTGCCACGGAAATACGTGTCACTTCAACTCTTTTTAAATATTTACCTCCTCTTCGAAAACGAGCTCTCTCGGGACCAGTCGTTATGAATGGCCTGATATAGCAAACCATCGTAAACAAGGTACCTCAGGACCCACGCGTGCTAGTCACTATTATTATTAATAAGCCTTATTTTACCTAAGAGAGCATACTCCAGCGCGAGCAAAAAAAAGGTCTCCGTTTCTTTTTCAGACACTCCCATGACTTTAGAACCTCAAGCTGGCTGTTCATTTTGAACAGCGTTTTCCTCCTTTATCATTTCCGGATCCTAATTAATCGTCGTAGACTTTTCAATGATTGGCAATCGTTCTCCAATCAAAAAAGGCAACGTTTTTTGCCTTTGACCATGTGTTAGCAACCGTATCTAAACTTTTGAAATTCCCGATGTGGGTACAAATGATCTGCCACGATCAGTGTTTTTCATTCGTGCTGACCCATTGCAATCAATTTACTGAAATTGTTTGGTCGCCCGATTACTCACAGTTACTTCATAGCTCTGCCTTAGCGCTTCAAGAACACTCGTTCAATTTTTAGGCAACATTGCGGTCGGCATGTCCTAGTCGTGGAGTTTCGCTACACTCAAACACAGAGACAGTGTGATAACTGCAGCTAGTTCGTGACGACTAATGTCCTTAAAATCAAGGTAGATATAACCCAATCGTGCTCAAGGTTTTATCACAATGCGCAGCTCAGACTATAATCCACTTGAAAGACCAATGAAATTAGAAATACAATATAAATTGACATCTTCTAGAAATGTTTCTTAAAGGAACACTCGAAACTATTCGAGTCGATGGTAAAAACAAGCATTTCTAACTAACTCATCCAATTCATGTAGATTTTGAGAAAGGAAATACCCTTTGCTTTTAAACTGTCAATGCCGAGTCAAAATATCTAATTTTACTTTTAATTTCAAGCTTAGATTTGGGTCGGCCTATGGGTTTCTTATGTTTTCGTAAACCCGACATTTATTCGTGAACTGGAGCGTACGCAAAGAAACAACCACAGCCTCGGCTAAATCTTCTGACAGACTTCGTCGGCACAGATAGAGCCAACTATCAAAGTGTTGACTATATTTAACTGTCTACGGACTCCATGAAGTGTTTAAAGCTTGCTGTACATATATTGGTAAATGCATGAAAACGAAAACAATTGATTTCTTGTCCACCTCACACTTCTTCAAATATCGAACAGTCTCGGCATTTTTCTTTTTTTGAGCTATGCGAGGTACTATTCCGGTATGGACGGACGGTCCATAGATCCACGATAGTAGTAAACTGCTGAAACTTGTTGAAAAAGGTGCGGCGAGGGGGGGGGGGGTAGCAGCATGAAGCAGTACAACGGTAGCTGACCTAAAAGTAGAATGATTTGAATGTTCGGCCGCTGCCAGTACAATACTTTCGCCGCTTAATATTGCTGGTTTGAACGGAGACATATTCGCAGAGGACGGTGCATAGCCCTATACAACTTTTGCTTTCTTTGAACAACAATAATAATACTGGTCGTGCTGGTACTGATAAATCATCACTATAAATTTTGTACCATCTTTACGACTAATGAGCAGACGATACACGTAAATTTCTCTCCACTGGCCAAATGACTGACCACTAACGATGGGTGTAGGTTATACCACGTCTCGTCGATCCCTTCGTATTTTTAATATCTGCCCGTATCTGTACATGTGAAAGATACGCCTCGTCTCTAAATGCGTACATTACACATGAACTGTTTCTGAGAGATCTCCCACGCTATGGGCGGGCGAGGCACACATTTCCCTGAGTTGTTCCCAACAAAACCAATGACGCCTCTGAACGACCAGAAGGAAAGTGGTGTCGGCGGCGGGTCTGACTCATCATTTCGTTGCTATCACACGTTGCTCACGAGGCGTTTCTCCTCTCCTAGGTTGTAAGCTTCTCCGGCGCTCCAACGCGAGCCCTCCAGTCCCCTCTCAGACACAGGGCCGGTGGATGCAGTGCTTTAGGGCCCGCCATGGTGGTCGTATTGGTTTTCATCGTAAAACTGTACATTAAAAGACGCAGTGTTGACTAGGTTTGATATACCTATTCTACTAACTAAACATGGCGATTCGTTGAAATTTGTGCTTTAAGGAAGGCTTTCAAGTGACAATTAGAAGGAAGGCTTTCGTAGTGTGCAGCTCTGAAGGTTTTGTTCATCGCTTTAGAGGTAGATAAGTGAACGTTGCTATCGCTTAAGTATATAGTGTTTTATAGATTTTATTGAAACGGAAGTAAACGTAAGTATGCGTTTTGCTTCGTTTTAATACAGGAAACACTTGTCATAAACTTTCTAATTTTTTTTTGAGTTTTTTTGAACGTTTTCAAGATCGAGTTTGCACCGCCGCCAACTTTAAAATCTTCCTTGACAAACTTTCTTTTGTTCTTCGCAGTTTATTGAGTGATCTGACGTGACTGACAATGTTCAATTCATTCCAATATGACCAAATGACGAGCCTTAAAACATTAGTTGAGCATGTGGTAAGATCAACAATAATCGATATTTTAATTATTTATTTATTAGCTTATGACGTTGAGTTGTAACTAAAAAAATACGAAAGGATCATACGCTAATAAAATACAAACCAACTCTTGTTATTCATATATACTAGCATGCATTTTAGCGCATGGCATTTTAGGCCATGGCCTAGTAGACCTTGTACATAATGTCGTTCAGCATCGGAAGTTGTTTCTTATTGTATGACCAACAGCTGTGCCTTTGTTAAAAGAAAATACTGTCATACGCTTTTGGAAATTACTATATTCCACTTGTTTCTTCTCTTTTGCTTGTTTTTAACTTTTTGATATAATACATGTACGTTTTTTTTTTATTTTTTTGTGATTATTTACTATTGTAATTCTGATTCGGTATATTTAATTCTACCTCTATTTGGTATTTCCTTAGGACAAACAATGAGCGCAGTCTGGCATTTTGTTCCAGCAATTTCTAAGAACTAACCAGCTTTTATTTAGGAGCTAATTCTCGATAAAAATCACGTACTTCGTCTCTTTAGCTAGTATTTCATTTGATTTTGGCATTCCACGTGTCCCCTACCCATTCAGATTTAGCTTGAAAAATAGGTCCTTTAAGGTGCGTTTTCGTGAATTGCCTACATATTGTGCTTGCCGCTACCACCACTACCAAACAGACGGGCCTGTTCGGATCAGCTGGACCGGCAAGTTCGTTAAGTTACAATGGCAGGCAAGTCCAGTGCTTCAATCACCTCGGCTACGACAGCCGAAGATGCTACAGTTTTCGATAACGCGAGGGTTGTCGAAGCCAGTACCGGCGACGGCCGTAGGAGTAATAAAGCTTCTGACGATAGTGACAAGAACCGTTACCCTGCGGCGGCGACTACAGCCGTGGCTGCTGCTGACTCGGCTGATACCACCGTAACACAAGCCGCTACTGCCGCTGTCGTCGTCAATACTACTACAACAATTGGCTGTGTTGAATGCGTTACCGGGGAGACGAACCCAACCCTTGAGGTAGAGAGTAGCTGTTATGCTCCTGTTATTACTCCTGATACCCCTCGTAAAGCGGCCGCTAGCCCGGCTCTGACTTTCGCGGACACTGACGAGGGCGAAAGCTTCAGCCACAACCATCGCCCGCATCGGTCAGTCGATGCCGGGCCGACCGACGATCGGGGGTTGCCTTTAGAGAGAGAGGTGGTAGTGAAGGCCGACTGCGATATTGCCAGGACCAATTGCCGTACCAACAGTAAGCCTGCCGCGACAATAGCAGGGACAGAGCCCGATCGTGGTTCTCGCGGAGCGACTAGGGAGCTGGATGGCGCAGACGCTTCCCACAGTGAACAAACAGAGGCCACTGGAATAGTTTCAATTGAGGCTACTACGACTAACAGTTGCTATACAGCTGCTAGAGAGCAACGGCAAGAAGAGCTACCGGTCCGGGAAAAAGCCTCTGTGTGGGAGGAGCACCCGAAAGTTTGTCAGCAGGTGAGAAATACCTCAGGAAACATAGCCATAGATCAAAGGAAAAACGGCTTCTAAAAGCAAGCGATCAAATAAACTAGATAATTACTCGACTAGTTAACTTAGTTGTGCCACATTAGGTAACATATATGGTAGCTGTACCCGATTCGAGGTACCCGATGTAAGCGCACCGCCGTATCGACAGCCGTTTTATCAGCGTCCGCTCGCCTGCTAGAATCAAAAATCTCTTGAGCCAGGTAAGTCGCACTATACGCGATCGTAATGTAATTCACCGTAACCGAATTACCCTCACGAAGAACACACAAAATCCATCTTCCAGCATCGGCGATGGTGCCAACTCGATATTTATGCCCATGCTTGCGAATTTGCCTTCCGTACCTTGTCCAAATCAAATAAAATATATGAAAAAAGACCATTATCAAGAGGTAATACGCTTCGCATGTACAGCGGATTAATCAAATAGAACTCTTACTTAACAATACAAAGCAAGATTATCTGTCCTTGGCGAAAGGAAGGCCCCGCCAGCTCTAAGCTTGTTTCTATCTCGCTGAGATTACAGATTCGCGTAGTGTCACACTTCGGTATGGCGAGACTGGCGAAGTGATTATGGTCTGGGTGAAGTATTTTGATCAGAAGAATCATAATCGTATTTCTCTGCCTCTTATTCATTGTGTTAATGGTGTGATTCCTGTTCATTGTGAGAGTCCGATACGCTAATAATCGGACGGATCCGCCGCTCTTGTCGGGTGCGTTTGGCGTGTCGTCATGATCCAATTACTGATTTTAGCTGGATCGTACCCCTGCCGTGTTCTATTCCATAGTTGCTCGTCATCTGGCGGTCGTATGCGCTTCGCAGATAAGTTACTTTATGTGTGGATGTTTTATTTACGAGTCGTGTAGTTCATATCCTTGGTTTAAAGCTATTATTAAAAGGCAACACCCTCATAACTGTGAGTCTGGTTCATGCAAAAGCGGTTTTCCAGGAAGCAGACAAAGTTAAGCTATTAAGATGTAACAGTCTCTTAGGTGCGATATTTTGAGAAAATATTAGATCCCTGTGACAAAAGTGTCATAGACGTGGTGACAGGGCCAATGCAGGGCTAGAGTTGGCCGGGGAGCAGACTTTCAAACGATCGCATATGGACAGCGATTTTTTTTTACCTGAGCATTGGTCTGGTAAAGCGACAAGGGCTTCAGCGGGATTCCGTGTAGGGTTAAATTGATGGGTTTTTCTTTACAAATGGATTAGAATTCTTCTCGTTCTGGGATTTTTTTACGCATTTATCGTTGCGGTCTAGTTAACATGGAAAAGCTTTCATCGCTAACGATAACGCCACGAGTACTCACGAAGGTATTTTCGCTAGAACACCTCTGTTTTTTTACGTGTAGCGTGTCACGTCTTTTTAACCAAATTATGTACAAGCTATCCCCTTGCAATGAAGGCCGATTTTAAGCGTGTTTCTGGCAGGGATCTTGGTGATAGTTACACTTGGCCGTGAGATTTATAGTGCAAATAATTGAAATCTACCACTGAATTTCAGCGGGGTGTCCAACTAAGAAAAGGACGGCTGCGACTCTACGACCCAGCCCACTATGTAGATAGAAAATCAAGTTTTATTGATTGTATCCTAATTATAAAATTCTGTCACCTACAACCGAGCTTTCGACAAATATGTTAGGTACTTCGCAAGCTAATACCACCATCAAGTGCTCGGATTCGGGTTTGAAAAACAGTCGCAAGGACAACTAATCTTCTCCATGTTTTATTTATTCGACAATGGGTGTCGAATCTGCCTGTGACCTAAGACCTGTGCACTTCCATCCATGTTTGTCCTGCCCCTTAAATTCGAATAAGGCCTGACTAAGTAATTCGACACTATCTACCGGCCATTGCTTGCTCCACGTCTTGGCTGCGTATCGATCCCTCACGTGGCTGTTGGTCGTGGTCGGGGTAGATAGAGCGAGAGGAATGCCGCTGTGGCTACCTGCCTGTAACAGCTTTTAGGGTAGCTGGATATTAATCATCGTTACATCGGCTATTATTTGTCGACTTGGCAACCTTTGCTACAGACTCCGCCGCGCTTGACAGACAAAGAGACATTCGTTTGTCTGCTATGCTACTGTAGACGTGCGCTGAGATCCATGCAGCCAAACGTAGAGTCGCCTTGAGAACAGATTTCATCGGGTCAGTCCCTCCGTATCACTAAAACAAGGCATAACAGTTTTGCTACAGTGAATACAGTATTAGCATAGGTTTATTAGATATTGTAGCAGCAATGGTTACACCCCCCACCTTCACCCCCGTTCATCAATGATGAACAGGTGGGGTACCCGTAACAGCCAGTTAGTGTACGGAGAGACCATACGAGAAAGACCGTCAATGTTGTTGATGGTGGAGAAAACATGAGATATTGCATTTTTCCTCACTGTCTAGTTCGTGCCATTCTGACTAGTCCACTTACGTCAAGTGTTCATCTCGTATTTGTTGCGCCTTGCGGATCATGATAGATGATAAATTTTGATAACTGAAGTTTTAGTCGTGTCATTCATTGATATTTTTATACATGCCTTCAAGGTTTTCAGCAGATTAAGTCTTACTTAATAGAAAAAGCTTCTAAAAAGATTCTAAAAGGCCATCGTTTTGGTATCGTGATCAGTATATTGCCACGAAACACTATTCATACCAGCCGCAGTTCACCGATTCTTCTCTACTCTCCATCAACCGTGTAGCTCGTTCGCCGCAGCCGACGCTTAGGTCTACCTCAGAGGAGTCGATTCGTATCGTCAGTTAAAAGGGACGACGTGTTTTTATCTGTCCCAAAATCCCTTACAGACGAAACACTTTATCAGCAAGTTTTCGCGAGTTCCGACATTTTACATTTGGTCATACTAATGTTATAGATAATAAAAACTTCAAAAATATCTACCCACTTAGACAAGACGTCGTTTGTTGTCAGTTGTTTTTAACAATATATCTATCTTAATAAGTGGTGGCAAAGATTTCCACCTGTTGCTTTGTTTGTCCACTCACCGATGTACAAAGAAAACCATGATTCGATTTATGACTACGTCTTCAACTTCAAAGTATAAGCGTTTTCAACATCCTAGAAGACGATATTGCAAAGTCTAGGAAACTTAGTTCCAGCCTTCTTTCCCCTGAAAGGACATCCTTTTTCCCTAATACAGAAGAAGCCAAATGTTCACTCTGGATACCTAAGGACATTCCATATTATCCATTTGGCTGTCATTGTGCCTAATATAGAAACTATATGACCTTTCAAAATAGCTTCAGAAAAACCCTGATATAGGTAATGTGCTTCCGGCGGCATCTTATGCTTTGTTTCTACGAGCAACGCGCATATTAGGCTTCAGGTTCATTTAATGTTTCGAAGACCTATAGGCAGAGTACAAAGAGTCCGCATATACTTAGATAATCTGTTTTACCTGCAGTATGAATTGCACGACTCGGCTGAATGACATTACGGTTGACGCGGAACTGAGCAGTCGTTCGGACCATTTTTCACTTTTCCATTCTGTGAAATCCAGTCAACAATACCTTTCATATTTCCATAATAATATTATGAATGTGGCGTTGTTTTATTTATGATTTACGACGATTATTATAAATCTAGAAATGATCAGAAACGTAAACAGTTCCGTCTAGCTGCGAGCGCTAAACGCAATACCCATAACGCCATTAAGATGTCTGTGTACCTCTGAAGTAGAATCATACTGGCCAGATCGCTGAGGTATTTCCTTTGCCTAGCTTTTTTGTCTTTGTGTGTTTCTTTGTATGTGTTTCTATTGGTGCCATCTTGTAGGATGTCCGAGGAGGAATCTGGTGACGATGACTCGCAGGTTTCGGATAGCCAACTGGTATGTGTCCTTGATGCCAAAAACCGACTTATTTTTCCTGCTTTTCTCCCTTACCATTGCCTGTTATATAAATTCCTGTACATTAGAGGTCCTAACATTAGATAGATGTATAGCCAGTCGAGCAAAAACGGCCTTTTACTTCTAAAAGCATTGTTACTACAGTGACATTAACAGGGCTTGCTTAGCATAGCTTACCAATTCTACATGTTTTTTTAACACATCTAATTTGAGTTCGTAGCTGCAGGAAACAAAGTTGTCCGTACATTACTTCTATTAGGTGAATTTATATCCGCCTGCATTGAAGATTTATCAAATAATAGTCCTCAGAAAGTAAATGACTCATCAGCATTTGTTTAAATGAACAGTAACTACATTTTTCATCGTAGTAGAGGATTCTACAAAAAAAAAAGTCAGAAAGAAGATGGTATATCCTGTAAACGCCAATCTTTAGACAGTGTTTTATCAAAACGGTGTCTGTATGAGAAAAACGGCTTTTCCAGCTCTCAAATATATTCAAACTTCTCTACTTAGCCCTATTTATCTGGTTAGCTCTTGATTTTAACAGCTATTATTTATCAAGATGCTGGTGGCGAGTTTGCTCAGACATAGTACCAATTAATACTCGTACGAAATATATACGTTTAAGTTAGACCACACTCAATGCCTAACTTTTTCTATAAATTCCAAATTGTATAAGTTTTGAGAAAAGGCACACCTCTATTTGAATCGTATTATTCAAGAAAATCATGTTTGTATTCAGCTAGACTGAATGCAGTGTTGAAGTGGTGCGCAATGGGAACACCTTATATCTTTGATCTGGCTACGATTCTATATTGAAACGGAATTTCGGTCTAGCTTTGTCAAATCTATGTCATGACAAAATTTCTGCATAAGTTTACATATAAACAATGCACATATCCAAAACAACTCAAACTGATTCGGGAGCGGCAACGGTTAATTGCCTTCCCAAGTTATTCAATCTATGATTATTGCAACTTTAATTTCGGACAAGTAGCAAGACCTCTCTTTATAGACGTTTAGCCGCCATCGTTTATCAAGATGTTAACTTAGCTTCCGTCCTTACGAGACAAACCTAACTTCCGAAAGCTTCCGTCACCGTTTCACAGTTTTTAACGCAGCGTATTCACCGGCGTACGAACAGGTTCTGGTCAATGAAGCCATTGCCTGTAACAACTTGTTATTGGAATCAATACGCTTTCGGATATCCTGTGGTGTTGATTAGTTGAAAATGGCGGGGCGGAACTTTGTGTGCTGTGTTTACCCCTGACATTCAAGAATGAGAAACACAGAAAACAAAATGATTAGATAGATAAACGGAAGTCGCTTCCCTAGAAAACAATTAAACGAACCCGTGTCCAGTTGTTAATGGGCAAGGTGTGCATGACCCATTCGAACGCTACTATCAGTACATTACGAGCACAGCACATATCCGTTCAGATGGGCATTTCATCGTGTCGTATATTGAGCTCAACTGATTTGGGGTCATCAGTATGCCCAGCTGGCTGTTCTTCTTGCCGACCGACCGCGCATGGATCCTAGACGGCTATCGTGAGTGAGACTGCTCGGTGGAATGAGGGAATCTGTAGCTCTATTATGGGAATCAAACTTTTTGGCAATTTGGCCCCATTAGAGAAAATTTAACTTGTATAAAATGTTTTCAAAATTAGATTAAATATGGCTGACGACTACCTTAACGAAAAGAAAAATCTTACGATCTATCTAGAATTGATCGGAGAGAAATCATCGAGTTGATGTGTTTAGACTTCAGGCTGCGGTGCAAACTGTGAATTATTTAAGTAAATTCAAAAAGCTGTAACATTATTTTTACTTGCGTGCTACAAAACGTACATTTCTGTAAAGACAGGTAATCGTTCGCACTATTTTTCATACAAGTTCTATGCATATACTCAGAAATGATACTAGTTAGCAGTGCTTCCAACATTTCAACGATGTGTTGCAATGGTACTTATTAAAGCGTTCACTTGAGTATAGATAATGCCATTGAGCACATTCTCTATGGCTTGTACGATGTTATGTATTAGCTTTTTCCCCATCTTTTTTCTATCTTGCGCGTTTGTAAGATTGTGCTCGCTTGAACCCCCTGTACAACTACTGAAAGGCAACCTTGAAAAGACACTTTTCCGAACCGTTAGATTATCACTGGACGTCTATTTTCCTGTTTCCAGAAGCAGTTAAATTGTTTTTAATATAAATAGATCGTGATGGCTAGGATAGAATATAACAAATTTAACGATACTACATGAATCACTCTTTCAAATGACGGATATGTAGCTCGAAAAAGCAAGGGACGGATTTTCACTTTTTATATAATGAATAAGCATTGGAAGATACCTACGTTAGCATACATAGGCGCACTCGTTTGTACTACAGAACCTTTTTGCTACTAGATCAATGTTTCTATCTACGGAATAGATGGGCAGTTTTTGAACCTTAAGGCGACGCAGTTCTCGTTATCAATGGTGAATCACTGATGATCATATTGAATGAACTAGAAGGGCTTAACCACCTAATGAAAATGGCTTCCTTCTATGGAATAAACACAACGGGATCGTTTAATTAAATCAAAGCGACTACAGATCACCCTTGCGTATTGTCGAACTAAAACGTTGTTATTTATCGATGAACAGGGACGATCACAGAATAAACAAGTATAGCCTATACTAAATGTTACGTATCGGATAAATGGGACCAAGAAAAGAGGCCAGAGATTTCTGACAAAATCACCTCACTCTTCGGATACAACCGTTCAACACATTTAATTCCACTATATTCAAGCTTACACATTAACTTCTGTTCTGGATGACGCCTTTAAGCAATTGCTAGTGACTTTATCGTCCGAATCATTCTACTTCATCGAAGATGTACAAATTGACACTGCTAATAAAGACGAAATAAGGATACTTGGAAAGAGTACGTAATATTCTCTAATGGCTATCTTTGGAAGTCGAACGGATCTAAAGTAAGCCAATGTCAGTGCCAAGGGCGGGCCTATCAACTGCCCTTGAAATTATTTTGGAGACCAGAAAAAACGCTTTCAGTGAAGTCACGACAACTGGTTATCTATGACTAAAGGGTGTCTTAGAATCTGTTTGGATATAACATTTACCTATGTGTTGTCCTTAAGTACTCACTAACTTTCTTTTTTAGCTTCAGGAATGGCGAGAGCGTTACGAAGATCTTGAACGCGATCTTTTAAAGCTTCAGGAGGGTAAACAAATCGTAAGACACGATACTACATTGAGTTCAACGCAACAAACAGCTGTAAGCAAGTATTTGATATTTTTTATTATTATTATTATTAGACATTTATATAAATTATAAGACACGCGAAATGTTATGAGAATGCTTGCCTAAGAATCTATTGTAAAAAGTAGTGTTGATCCTGATTAATAAAGAAGATCGTGAGCGTAAGCTAGTTTTGAGGATTAATCGCTAATAAAATATTCCATAAAATACACCAAAGTTATTTAATCCTTAATTTGTGTCGTACTCGGCGCGCTTCAGACATACGATGTGGAGACAAGCTCAACAGTTACGGTGGTCACATACAATACTTCAACAGAGGACCTCGAAGAAACGAGAGAGGTAAAACATTGTTAGACGTCATTTTTTTTTACAAATTTTCTTCACTGTAGCGTCTTCGAGGAGATTCGGGGTCTTTGCCTTTAGACGACTATGCAAGACACCCTAATCCCGAGAAAATTGCTCGTTACATTTAACAAAAAGCTTTTTTCGTCGTCTTTTTTTATCGATGTTTATAGGCATTTTTGTAGTTGTTTGTTGGAGCCTATATTACGACTCGTCATTTATATGTATAAATAGAAAAAAACACGTTCCCGATACAGCGCCGCGCTATTACTTCCGCTAAAATTCGCCTTTGTCTAAATGCGACGAATTTCCATTCAGAATAATAGTAACCAATTAGAGCTTAACGAAATAGCGTACGTATGTTATTGGGGAATTATTCTTATGCTAGATATTGTATGCTTCATGCATGATCTGTGTAAACTGTATTAAAATTTACTACAATAGATAATTCATTGTAACCAATGTCCTTATTAAAAAACAGGCACAAAAACTACAAAAACACATTACCAACACCGTCTACTTTTCATCACACTTCTACCGTCTACATTTCACAAGTAGTAGAGTTTTATGATATCGAAAATCAATTCATCCTAATCGGCCAAAATTAAATCGGTCAGAAACGGTACATGCTTAGTATCTGTGATTAGAGGAGGAAAAAAAACAATTTACATGGTATAATAAACATGTATTTTATGTCCACAGGAGATTTTTCAGGCCGTAATCCTATCGTGGATAATGGGAAGAACTCGTGTCGTTCTTTTGTGTTTTCATAGCTGCACATGGTTCTGAGCTTCGATACATTACCAACTTCAACAAAAACGTCTCATATGCTCCGAGCTAGCGCTATGGCGCTTTGAAGGGTTCCGTTGTCCTCCAATACAACAAACGCGATTATGTCTGACATAAAGTGGGAGGTCAGAGTCAAAGCTCTTACATTAGACATTGTTGTTTGATCGTAGGTAATACAAAGTGACACGGATAACATCAATCGACTTCTTCGACGGCAGGTTCGCCTATTGGCTCAGACAAACTTTTCACTTGGCCGGAAAGTCGATCGACTGACGAAAAGCCTTACCACCAGGGACAACACCCAAGATCGATTCCGATCTTTCGTCGCCAGCGAAAAGAAGACAGTATGTATCGGACTCACGATATACTGACGGACAACACACATATAGATGGATTGGCTTCATTCAGAAAGCACTTTGTTCATCGATTATGCCGAATAGAAGTCTTATTCAGATGATCTTGAACGATGAAGCTTGGCTTGTACTATTAGATCGATTCTTATGACGTCTAGCTGAAAGTACCCTTGATCCCTAGTAGAGATTCTGTTCGAACATTTACCCAGGCTCACATTATTGGGCAAACACATTGATCAACAGTACAAGCTCATGGGCAAGAGGACACTGGACAGTGTTTCGTACATTCGACCGCGCTGCCAGAGAAACGTGAAATTTCCGTAAAACGAAACGTATTCGACTGATCTCTGATAGCCTAGCTAGAAGAGGTTAGAACGAGAAACGTGTAGCGAGTTTTTCTAACTGTACACCTATGTAACGTTCAATGAAAAGGTTTTGTATATTGGTCCGTATACATCGCTGCGCAATGTATTAAAATCGTTGTGTCCGCTACTCTTCAATAAAAGGGCTTCATAAAACTATGGAGCCCTTTTATTGAAGAGTAGCGGAAGAGTTATTCGATAATAGTGCATCTTATCACGGAGCGCTAAACAATTGTTGCATCGTCAGTAAAGCCGATCTACACATTTCTTAACGGCACAGACTACTTGAAGAATCATGTTTTGACTGTTCTATATTCTCTATTGATTGCCTGCTACGCTAAGATAGTACCCCCGCAATTTTTAATGACAGTTCCTCTCTAATATTAATACCCGTATTTTTCATTTGCTATTCTATGAACAGCTCGTGGATCTCTCGAATTTAGTATCATCTTTCAAAAAGGACTACTCTCGATTACGGACCACAGTGAGCCTGTTTCTATCAGAGTACCGCAACGAGCTTTCTGAGCAGAAGTCGAACCTCAATTTGCAGATGGCGGAAGCAGCGAATCTATCCAGGGTAACCGATCTGGTCGCAACCGCAGTAGGTAATGTTGTCGAAGAGGTCACAGAACTCAACGCGGATGAGACCTCGTTTGATCTCATTGATGTGCCGAAGATCATGGTGCACAGCGGCAGCATGACAGACGACGAGCTACAAAACAGGTCCATCAACCTTTACTTCAAAGGATTCGTTAATTCTGTATGCACAGTCGCTGGTAGTGACCGCAAAATTGCGACGCATTTGATATCTTAAAGTGATTAAATAGTTCCTGCGAAAAAGCGGAACGGGACTATGAACTGAAATGTATCCTATGGGAAGGCTTCACATGCTGCAAAAGCGTTTAACTTAGAGAAAATAGGCATTGTGTATGTTCCGTTTCGTTGAGCTGATGTCTATGTTATATATTAAAAAATAGCGCACTTCAGGGCGTTGAAAGATGATTTGACGGAGTTTATTGCACTTATTTGATTGTTGTCTTTTTTTTTTTGTTTGCTATTTGGTGCGTAGTGACCCCTTGCGGCTGACCTGCCAAGTGTTCACTCCCGAACAAGAACTGTCGGCGCTTTACGCCGCATTTGAAAGAGTTTTAGAAGTCATCGCGCTTCCTGCCAATCAACAACTGGTCTACGGACTCAGGTGAACTTTTTTTTATTATGATAGCAATTATTGACTGGTATACTATGTAGCTACGTATATGTAGTAGTGGTAGTAGTAGTAGTAGTAATTCGTCACTTAACTTAATATTATTATTCTTGTTTACTGGTGTCGTGACGGAAAACGTTATTATGAAAAGATATATGTGTCCACACAAACAACAACGAACCGAGTGCGTTTCATTCCCCGGCATCGACACGGGAATGGTAAGGGGTTTGTTTTTAGTTACGGGGCTAATTAGGATAGCGTCCATTTGGCAAACCTGCTTGTTTACGATATTATCAGTGGACTTACGAGCAGGATCGGCGCCTTCAGGTCCACCACGGTTTCTCTGGATAAACAAAAGGACTTCATCATTCCGTTGGACACCTCAGTACCCATTTAAAACTGAACCTGAAATTCCTTTAAGGTGAAAGCTTTGAAGTGAACGATGCACGATAAGCAAGCAATGTTTACAGCGAATCGAAAATGCATCTTTACGCATAGATGTCTTTTATTATTAGTATGTACATACATTTACAGAGGTATAGTGATACAGCAGTGCTCTCTTTCATTTTCTGAACGCATTCATTTTTACATTCCTTTTATTATCTAAACCTAACCTAATGGAAGCTCAGTGCAATCAAGAAGTTAACCCTTTGTCGTTTATTACCTACTAGCTTTCGACATAGCTTTACTTTTCAATATGGACTTAACTTATTATCGCAATGGGCATTTAATTCAGCCTACTTTCTTGTGCTTACAGATCGTTACTTTCATCAAATGGCTCTATCGAGAGCGTTGTCGCCCTTGTAAATGAGAACCTTCAATCTGTTCCGCGTAGTGGACTTCCATCAAGGTACGTACATGTACACAGTGATTTCTAGTTTAGCCCCTTGTGAACCGCATAGCCTTATGCTTACCGCGGACAGATATATGGATTAAGCAGTTTCAACTATTGCATAGTATTGCCACTAAAGGCCTCTACAATAGATATCATCTTGAAAATGCCAAGTTTGACTGGGACCCGAGAGAATGAGGTGTGACGACACGTGTCGTTTGTAAAAATAAATCTCTCGTTGCTCAGCAAAGTCTTCGGCAGGTAGGCGGAAGTTTTATCTTATCTGTTGATTAACTATTCAATATAGAAGAGAATCTTTCTTGTCATCTCTTGCTTTGGTTTCTCGCCAGTTCGTTCCCAATCATTCGCCTTTGGTTATTTAGTTCATCTTAATTTAACTACTGCGACCCCAAAAATTGCTTTCCGAAGCGTTATTTCCCTCCGTTATTTGTTAGGCTGTTTATCAATGTACTGATCTAAAGTGTGCCTAACACATCGACTTATTCCTGCCACCAAGTAGTATATATATATATATATATATATATATAAAAATTAAGGGAAGCCTATCTAGCTATGCTCTAACCATGTGTTGAATCACACACACACACACACACAGACACACTGCTACTACCAATTGCAATAAGTTACCGGAGCTAGTGTTTTTTGAAAATGATCCAACACTTCTGTTGGAGATCTACTACAATTTATTAAGTAATACTGTAATCTAACAGTTCACACGAATACCTCCAGGAGCCGCACTCCCATCGACCGTGACGACGATGAGCTCCCCGTTGATGCCATTATACAGTACGTATTATAAATACAAAATGCAGTTTATGCAGTATAATACTGGATCTTCAGAAAATTTAGTAATCTTATATTTATGCAACAGGCTCTAATTGATAGCTAGCGGCAGCTAAAGATTTTTATGGACAAGTTCTCTCCCTTTTTACGTTTTGACGTGGGCGATTTCGTTCAAATATGGATATGCTAAATAAAAAAAAAAAAAGTGATAAATACCGCGCGCAAACTTTGCTTCGAAACCATCAGACATCGGTGAGGTGCCCATACGGTTGCATAATTTTTCAGTTACCAACCCATTGTCTCATGAGGCTTTCAGTCTATTTTTGGAGAAATGTTGCTACTTTCAATCATCATCACCATCATCATCATCAAAGGCTTCTAGATTTTGGGCTCTTTCAATAAAGTTGTTGTATCGTTCCCGTAGTAAGCTCCAGTACGAGGCCAAGATCCGCGAGCTGGAGCAAGAGGTCGCTGCTATTGCCAACGAAAAACAGCGTCTGGCTAACGAGCTAAATAAAGCTATCCAATCGACGTCCCATGCCGCAGCACAAATAGCGCGCGAAAGGCCGACACGGATGGACTACGAGGTATGAAATCGACGCATCAAGTAGTCTTCGCCGCAATAGCTCCAATAGCTGCAAACTCTTCACAATGTCAACCACTCAAATGGTATTAAAAAATGTAAATGTTATAAAATCTACCATACTCAGTTGAAGGCCTGTCAGATGACATACACCTGACTTGGTTGTATTGATATACCCCAATTCGATCGGGATTTACCCATGCCGATCGTATCTACGTTCACTGAACAAAGCTACTCATCATTGTATACGCATATTTGCAGAATATATGCGGTATCTGCGGTAATTGAGCGAGCGAGCGAGCGAGCGTTCGAAATTGGCCAGAGTCAAATATTTCGTCCTTAGTACAGGCATATTTTATCTAATTCGACCAACAAGGGCGGACGGTGAATTTTGCGTTGGCCACGCGGCAAACGCGAATTCACTGACGTCTATTTATCTGACGTCTATTTATAGGCCTGCTGAAGCATGCGTTTCTTCACTACGCAATGGATTCTTTTATCACACAGTACTGCAATTGTTTACAACACGTACCATTCAAGTCTGCGACCTTTCTAGCATAGGCTTATCGCATATCTATTGGACAAACAAAAGCAGACAAGGCTCAATGTTTAGGTGCACATATATAAAGTGGAGGCCGTTTTATCCGACCCCATTAAAACCTTTAAGGCACTCAAAAGCCCTAGCAACTGCAAGTTCTATTTTTTCGGGTTGTAAGAAGAATTGTAATGAGGCTTTTGATTTCACCGTTCTGACTGAACCTTGAAACTCCGCGAGTTCCGGATAAATACTATTTAAAGGAACTTGTATCTTTACGCCCATTTCAATGGAGTCGAGTTAAATAGTATAGTCAATTCAGCTGATGTTAGACTCCGATTTCCCCATTTCATTATTATTAGTCTTGCCAAATTAGAATGATAAACTACCGTAGGATCGTGATAGTTATCTACAACGCTATTTTATAACCTTTAATTTCAAGAAATTGGATTTACAAAAGCGAGGTAGGCGCATCTGAAGTAACTTCTTTTTCATGCTGCGAACTACTAGGTAATTATTCTTTTTGTAAGATAAACTTATCCATTTTATTGTCACTCGAACCATACACAAAGCAACAGCCTACATACACTACGGAGAAGACTTTTTAGAGAGACCCGAAGTTAATGTGAAACATAGAATATTACAGTTGTCGTATATAAAATTAAATAAATATCCTAAGTATTCTCGAAACAGAGCTAATTATAAACCAATATGATAAAGATAGATTCAAAGTTATTGGGCTGAACAGATCTGCCCCCATTTCTATCTAAGGACGCCTAACTAGCCTTCGAGCAGACCCACACAGAGCCTGTCTCTTACATTGATGTGAGCTACCGTTTTGGTTGTCCACTTTCTGGATCGAGCTATAAATTTCAATGAAATAAATTAATATCAGCACATTTCAAAGCAGGCAATTCATCCGTTAAAAGAAACCACATCACATCGATATGACGAAGCTTCACGCCTGCAAGAGGACTCACGTACCCGTGAAGAAGTCGTTCTCGAGGTGACGCCAGCGGCTGGCGGAGGTACGTCGCGCATTGGGGTAGCTCGTGATGGAAATTATACCGGTTGTGATTCCGGAGTAAAGGAAATTTTCCACGTGCCACTGTGTAAGTAGTACTGCATATGGCCAATGGGGTGGGGGTTTTTTAGTGTTCTATTCATAATCACCGAGCGATCACTACAATGAATACCGGTAAATAATTAACCGTATTCTCAAATGTTCATAGCAAGCATTCAGTTGATAAATACGTACGTCAGACTCGTGTCTAAGAAGTAAGGAAAAGATCTTAATTTTCGATAAAAGCCCAAGAAAATGTACAACCTCCTTGCGGACCACCTGCAACATGATCGTCTTCAACCGTTTTGTCTATAAGACTGGCACAATTACACGCTTACGCAACGCTTTTACAATATGCTATGTTTCATCTCGGTTTTTGTAAGGTAAAATATATATACAATATTTTCCGCGGTTCGAACGAGATATTCCCTATATATGAAGGCGTCGTTTAACCCCATTTCTAAAATCGTTTCTTTTCCTATGCATCCGTCAAGGAAAATTTCCTCGAATCAATCTCAGTTAGTATATCTTTGACGAAGAACGGTACCGTGTCTTGAAACGGTGAAAGCAAACCGAAGAAAATTGATTTGAAAGTTTTTATAAGTTGTAGATAGTAACTTACGCTGCCGCTAACCTCGTATTATCAGAGGGCGCAAAACTTGACTTGAGAATACCACACTCAAATCAGCGAATTAACAGTATTAATAAAGTCTTAAGCCATAACTTCTTATATGTTATGTCTTTATTGTTTGATATTTAGATCTTTTACACCACCCAATTCGCACAGCTCCTACCACAGTCTGTACGTACAGTCAACGTCCTTACTATAGCCACATGCTATAAAATGGGCACTGGGTATTGAAAAGGGCTATGACATTAGAGAATGTAGTTGATTCTTCATAATTGCTACAGCGACGTACTTTTTCGCAGCTGAAGGTTCGTCGCTGTCCGAGGATTCCGCGTCTCGGTGGTGCTCTGAGATCCAAGGTCTGCGGGAGCACATCAATACGTTGCAACGTCAGCTCAACGCTCAGAAAGAGCTAAGCGAAAGGCTTCTCCGCGAGAAGGCTCGCATGCTTGAGCAAGTGGCTGAACTCCGCGATGAAAAGCGGCGACTAGAAGATAGTGCAATCCATCGCAGTCGCGAGCAACAGATGCATATTGAGACCCTTTCCATGAGGTAAAGGCAAGCTAACTATCTAATGGCAACTATAGAAATAGATATCATAGTACATACGATGTATTCGTATTTACTATTGTTTTTGTAAAATCAAGTAGTGAGAAAAATTTCAACAACATATTCATCATTCAACTTTCTGTTTGCACAACCCAATTGAAGGTGTGAGCAACTCCAGGATGAACGCGGTTCGGAGCGGAAGGAACGACTTGATGGACAGATTATTGGATCTCTCAAGGCCGAACTCGAAAAGGTTTTCAAACGCTTGTTTTGTTTACGACAAGATGTAATATGTTCTCGATAGAATTATATACTATAGTTGTATTATAGAATAGTCTCATATATTATAGTTTTAAGGAGAAAAGTTTATACTAGAATCTGGGTGGGGTTTATTTTCCAGCTGACCTTTGATTGATCAGACGAAACTGAGTCTCCGCCAAGTATGTTGAATAACTTAAGCATAAACAAAAAAAAACTGCAAGAAGCATGCCGAGCTGTCTTAACAAATACCTATTACGTAAAGCTCACCACCTCAAACTGCGACTTTTTACGTCTGGAACGAGCTTCACATCATCGCCTCCAAACATTCTGAGACCTAAGTGTGACAATTCTTTTTATTAACGTACGTTTTTTCATAAAAAAAGACCTTTATCAATTCATTGTGGAGCACAGGAGTGCTGGGGCACATGAACGGTTTTTGTTTTACTAAACGCGTTTACAAATACCATTCGCTCTGAATCATTCCGTTGCGAACACAAGCTGGAATCTGTGGTCGTCCGGTTGCTACCCAGACTGCGGTCCCATAAATAGGTAACATCTAAAAGAATAAACTGTGAATGATCTTGCGTCTTTTGCACTTTGCTATAGATCAGATCATTGTAAAGTTTTTAATTCTATCGGCACAGGAATCTTCCACGGCCCAACTTCTGGTTGAAAGAGACCAGAATAAGGTGCTTGAGGTTCCGCCAATAATCTAGAAATATTTTGTAACTAAAAGATGTTTATGGAAACAGTTTGGAAAAGTCACTAGACATATATATATATATATTATGTAGTGATTCCTTTGAAATAACTTAGTTTATATGCCTTTAGTGTTTCGGTAGTAATTGATGTTGTTATTGATTGTTTATATATGATTCTGATGTTGTAATTTATGTCGTTATGGCCATCAGTGGCCTAAGAACATTCGCTCGTTCCTAATCTGCTCGGAAGTGAATTTTTATATTCGAATAGCGTTCACGCTATATAATAAGGCCGTGTTCATTGGGTACAGATATGACACTGTACAGACCAAAGTTAACAAGAGCGATCACTCTCCACCAGCTTTAAATTTTTATAGTCTTGAAATCGGCGTGATCTTTCGCCACTTGCCGCCTGCAAAACAATTGTACATCTCCTGACGGCTCTTAAATAAAGTGTTCTTTTATTTTGTCGTAAATTGTACAAATCTAGCGAATCTTACTGAAGGGATACACCCCTAAAACAAGAAAAAAAAATACACTGCTTGACTTACGACCGTTTTAGATTTATGCTTATATCTGCAGGTACGCCCGATATACCTAAATATATGTAAAACAGGTAAATAATTAGCCTTCGATGGCCCACTGCGCTGTGATGCTTACCGCTAAAATCGCTTGTTCTTTAAGTATTGCTATATAATAATAATAATAATACCTCGATCTGTCTATTTATATTAAAAATCCACCCAAAGGTCTTTTTTTTTTCAATTTCCTTAGTTGTTATATATGTCCTATATGGTTTAGAAGCTTGGATGAAAAAGGGTACCAACATGACGACGAAAGGGGTAGACGTCGCTTTTGTAACCAAAACAGCAGTTAGATCAGTACATAACTCTAAATGGGTGGCTAAAAATGGGTGGGAAAATAGCACTTAGAACAAAGTTAACCATCTAATAAAGTTATTACTAAAAATCTTACATTTTCTACCTTGCTTCCTCGAATAGCGTATTTGTCTTGAGCTTGAGGTCTTATGTCCCACTACAGGTATATTGTTCTGTATGTATTCACCATGGGTACGCGTCCACCAACAGTCGTTATATACATTTTAGTCTCTGCCTAATCTTTACAACGCCATTAAAAGTTTGTTTTTATTGGGCCTGTATTGGCAGCTGGGCGATGAAGTTCGACAGTTGAGCGAGGAGAACCTCCATCTGAAGAACAAAACCATCTTGACAAGACATGACTGGCAAAACATCGTACAAAAGGTTTTCTCTCCGTTCCTTTATGACGTAACAGATAACGGTTAGGAAAACAGCATTCGTACACTGCTTGCACTCCTGTCATTTCTGTCACAAATCGCTTAAGCCCGCTTTAGTCGTTTGTGGTGGCTTATCAGCGAGGTTGTTCCTTTTAGAAATGCGTCAAGAGAACCTATTCTACCTAATCTCGTAATATGTGAACGTTGTAAGCCCAAAGTAGCAGCTGATGAACCATTTCCAATGTCGTACTGTTTTCTGGTGGCCTCTCTTCCTTATGCGTCATGTACAAGTATTCAATGAAACACCTTCTTCCATTTTAAGAATTTAGCCATGTGTTCCTCCAACAAACGTGCAATTGTTACAGATGACCAGCCTCTATCTTCTCTAGCTGGAGGCACATATGTTAAATAACGTGTTCAAATATATATACAACACCAATCATAATTTCCTGCTAACGATTTGGTAGCACATTTGCTAAAGGTATTCATATCTGCCAGTTATCAATATTGATGCTCAAATATAGCGGAATTTGCAAAAGTACATTGTTTTCATAAACAAATTTCAACGCCGATTGAAATTACATTAGTATTAGTACTGTATGTAGTTTAATTTAAAGCCTAAATCATTGGTGAAGTCAACTCTTTCAAATTTTTCTGTTTCCGTAATTAAGAGCTACCAAGCACAGATTAGCTAATCGTGTTCGACGTAGTGATACTGGCTATATTCAAAGGGCGTCATGAAATTTGTCCTGCACACGTTTGACCTAATTCACTTCTGGCTGCATCGCTAAATGTGCTAGTAGGCTCACTTGCATCCTGCTAAGCCTATTTATTGACGTGTTAGAAATTTGTTTAGAAAATACAGGGACGTCTAACCAACAAAATTAAATAGTACAAGGAAACGATTAGCCAATGCTGTGTCAGCTAAGACGCGACGTACATATGTTTATAATTGTAGCGGTCATCGGAGACGCGCCGTCATGAATTGGAGAAGTTGCAACTACAAGAACAAGCCGAAGACGCCCGGGCCGACAGTGTGGCAATGCATCGTGAGGTTGATCATTTACAAGGCCGCTTATTGCAGCTCACGAAAGAGCTGACGGCCTCAAAGGAAGATGGTCAGAAGGAACGCGCAAAGGCCGAAGCGGCCCAACAGGCTTCGGCCCACCTAGAAAAAGAAATCGACAAAATTCGACTCTTCTATGAAGGTGTATATGCATATATATAATAGACTTCGTCGAGGGTGTAACCGTTTATTATGCATCAACATTCTGCTTAGCACATCGTCTTTGTCAGTACTTTCCTGAAAGTTTTCACAAAAAACAAGTGCTCTCTCTCCCCTTGTACAAATAACGTGCACTATTATATTATATTATAATAATATTAGGAGTGGATCTCCTGTTTAGGCTCCAATTTTCATACGGCGCAGACAGGTATTCAATCGGAAGGCGTATACAGTGTACATGTATACCCGCTCCGACACTTTGGATGGACTGGGGGAAGGGGAGACGATAGCAGAAATGAAAACCGTTGCAATTTTTTTCTCTGTTCATACAAACTGCTATAAATGAGTTTATGTTAACAAAGGATTATTTCATACTAAGACGACTTCCTTCTACGGGGTCATCGCGCTCCAGATAACCAAGTATAAGCTTATATTTTTTCCATTTATTCTTATCGTTGCCGTGCATAAACGGACCAAATCGAACGGCCAGCCAAGTCGTTGCTAGTGTATTCTTACTCAATAAATAAATAAGGTCTTAAGCGTACATTGATGGGAAAATCTTGATGAGTTTGCCTTGATTCACACTTTCACTGGATGAAATCGTTCCAGCAGCTTTAAAAGAAACCTAATTAAGAAATGTACATCATTTTTTACCAATACTGTTGCAGAAATCCAACCAACTGTTCAATTCGCTAGCAACTGCTCCGTTTTTGTACTCATCGTACCTTTGTTCCTTGCGAAATCTTTACTGTTGCTCCCGCAGGCATCACTTTACAATACCCTTCTCGAAAACGAAAAATGAAGTCATTGAATTTTACCAAACTTGTCACCTTATGTACGGCTATACACCCTCGAGAAGACCTCAGTCAGATACCGGTGATCAGGACGTGAGCTCCACGTCTAAAATCTAGAACAAAATTTCATTGTGCCTATTTTCTATTTTTGCTCAATGAAATCGGATAAGCAGTTGTTTAGAAACCTGAAAAATATCTGTTTATATCCTATACGTGCTTTACCTTCGCAAAATACAAGCAAACTTCAGGCAGTAGATTTGGTTTAAAAGCCAATATTTCAGGAATAGCAAAAAACTGGAATAGACCGGTGAGCGTGGCACGACATTTCCTTTGTAAATTCTCTGCCTCTGGTACGACTGTAATTTAGAGCTGACACGGCGATACAAAAACACTCGCAGCTGAGGTCAGCAATTAACCCATCATATTATAGCTGAGGTTCTCGAAAATTTTAAGAAGCATACACATTAGAATTCGCCAGACACTCCGCTTGTGAATTAAAATTATTCGGGCCGAGGAGGATGGTAGTGAAATAGATGATGTCCGTTGCAAACACTTACCTATAACGAACAAATGGCCAAAAAGGCATGTTTTCTTAATTGCATACTCCTCTCTTTGTGTGCAGACACATTTGAGAAGTCACAAAAAAAAAACACACACAAAAAAAAAGAATCACACAAAACACACTTCCACTATGTATTTTGTCATTCCGGGTTCTGTGTGCACTTGCGGCCCTACAGAGCAAGCTCAGGATAATAGAACGTGCCACCAAAAAGCCATTGAGGAGCTAAAGTCTGGCTACGAGGCGCAGATCAGCGAATTGCGTACCCGCTTCAAAAGTACCGCTGACGAGTATAATTCGAGGCTCAAACACGAGATGTTTCCCGTTCTTGACGAGTTCCAACGGCTGAACATCGCCGTGGTTGAGGCTGAAGCCGAGGTCGCATCGCTGCGCGGTTTGCTCGAGCGAGAAAAGACCGAATGCGATCGACGTCATGAAACAGAACGAACCCTTAGAGAGCAAATTGCATCTTTATCAAGGTCAGTTTTTCCTCTCACTAACCCCACACACTATGGATGATTATATAATAATTGTCACATATCTATCCCTGGCTCTGAATAACACATCTCTGTGTAGCGCGAGTTAGCGTTGATCATGACACATCGTTGCCTTTCAATATGTGCAGTGATCTTTCAGAGCGCCGCGAAAAGTGTGAAGAACTTTTAGGTCAGTTGGGAGAGATTCAGGCTTCGCATGGTGCACAGTTGGTTACCCTGGCGAATACGCAGCGCGCTGCCGTTGCGCTGAAAACAGAGTGTGATCGACAACGGCGGTCAGCTGAAAAATCGGCTGCGGAACGAGCTGAACTCGAACGAGAGCTGTTGACTTTAAGGGAGGCTAAAAATCAGAACGACACCGTCATTCAAAATGAATGCAGTCACATGCAGGTATGACCAAATATACTCTTCTCATTTTACTTCTGCTAATTTGGATAGCACCTGTGTGGCTTACACCTTACATATTTATATATAATCCGTGTGGTTTAGAGTCGGTCCCTCTGCAGATCAATGCTTTGGACGGACCCGTACTAGACTGACCTAACCTATTGTCCTTGAATCCTTCATCATTGAAATGTCGGCCAGGAGAGAATCGTTGTTCTCCTTCGCGAAAAAGAAGGTCTATCAACGGAGTTAACTGAAACTCGTGACGAAGGAGAGGTGCTCCGGGGTAGAATCACCTTGCTTGAAATGCAACTTGAAGAGCACCGCAAGAGGCTGGTTGATGAGGGGGAAGCGCGCGAGAAAGAGTCACAGAGAATGGCGGAATTGAAGGAACAGTTAAATAGCGCCAGGGCCGAATTGGACATTTACCGAGAAAAAGTAAAATTAAAATTTTCAAAATTTCACAGATTTACTAAGTTGGTATGATCACGTGAGCGGCTGAGTTTTTAGGTACACTGCAAGGCTTCACTAGGCCGAATGGGGCAAAATAGTGTTCACATGAAATACACATCAAATAGAACAATCAGTTTGCTTTACTTATCAGAATTCAGCTTCCCCATATCTCGCGTCTGTTGCCTTATGTTATTCCAACCGATTACAATTAGGAATTCAATCAACGTGAAGGCATTAGTGAAAACCGAGTCCGCCTTCTATCTCTTAAATTTTCGTGTGATACACTTATGACATTCGTGATACATTTATGTGACATGATACGAGGCTATAATTTTATTTCAAATGCTTAACATATAAGAAAATACTCTTAAAAAAGGAGTAACATTGAAGGCGATCCAGTGTTGCTTCTTATTTCTTGAATAATGAGGTCACCTAAAACAGTTAAAGGACAAACAGAGCAAATAAAGGAGTTAACCTACAACAGTTTAAAAATGACGAATCTAGTTTTAGCATGGCCTACTTTATCTTGGATTATTATTCATCTGTACCGCTCACACACAAAGTAACCTACGGTTGGCTATGTTTTATCTTCAGTAAAGCTCGATTTACGTATGCTGCATTTTTTGCCATCTTGCCTAATGCGACTAACCTCTAGCTATTATATTCTAGATGGTCCGTCCTTTCGTGCGAAATATATGTATAAGTTCTATCTGCTGCTTGTTTTTTCCTATCATATCTCTAGTTCAGTGAGTTTTCCAAAAAACGATAATAACAAATCGACGGTCTTACCGTCTGTGATATACAAATTTGAATATATAACTGACCGGGATTCTGAAAAGCATCGATTTTAGTTACAAATTTAACTGATTTTTTTGGATATTTGACTAAGTCTACTCTGGACTATTATTGAATTTCACACTTAATAGTCATGATCTAGTATTAAAATTAGAAATCTTAGAAATTCACATCATGATCTGCCACATCGGATGCAGCTTTTTAAAGAACGCCACTTGGCATTGGCTCGTACCACTTTACGCTATAATCCATATGTTTACTGCAAGTGCAGATGGGTAAGCTCGAATGGCAGCGAACAGAGCTCCTGGAGTGCCGAGAGCGTCTACGGCGCCTGGACTCAGCGTTACTTCCGTTAACTCAGCAGGCGTCGTGTGTGCCTGAGGCTGTTGAAGAAGCCGTGGCCCGACTTACCGATGAGCTGGAGACGCTAAGAGGCCGTCTAGGAAGTACTGAGCACCAGCTGACGAATGTGCGAACACTGAGCCTATCTGAATCATTGAGAAATTTTGAAGACAGTAAGAAAGCAACTGAACTTCAAAGGTAAAAAAGAGCCTACGAGTACATCCGATTATACGAAGTGTTATTATACAAGCTGAAATGTTTGTGCAAAAAGGGAATTATCTTGCCACTTTCTGGGTCGCATATGCGAATGCTCCACGCTTGATTAAACACTGTGCCAAGCCCATCCCGTCAATATTTTCCAATAAAAATTAACTGACGCAAACTGCAAGTAAAACTTTCACAATGCAAGTATTGTATAGACAAAGACGACTTAAGTTAAAGGTAGCTGTACTAATAAATGTTCGTACTTTACGTGCGGCATTGTTGTTTAGTATTACCCTATGTTTCGAGTTTTACGTCCGATATCGCAGCTAGGCATTCCATTAGACCGCTGGTTTTTTGAGCACGAAACGTACCGCATGTCTATGCCCAGGTTCGAACCTGGACTCTAGCGTGTTGCTAAAAATAGCAGGTACATACGTTACTCACTAGGCGATCACGGGGACGTTGACTATTGTCTTAGACGGCTGGCGTCCCCCAGCACGAAACAAGGTGTAGTTATGTTATGAAGGTTCATAATCACATTATGGTAGCCTTATATACGACATTGCATAGGGCGAATAAAACAAAGAAAACCTCTGTAGTTCCTATCGCGTAATAGGCTCGCTTGTAGTATACGCTTGTTTAATTCTTACTAAAACTAACAATAGGTAATTTAAATTTCTTGGTGCTATGTCCAATCTTTACATAAACAAAACAATACACTAATATGTTTACACCTTATATTTGATTGCATCGTAACGCACGTCGCTATATACCAATAACATGCAGGGAACTGACTGTGAAAGATGCGCGCATCAACGCCCTGGAACAGCGTTTGTTGAGACTTCAGACGGAAATCGAATTGGAACGACAGAGTGAGGAGACTCGATTCACCGAGGGTCTTCCACTGCAGCAACATAACAAGGTCCTTATGCACGCTGAGCTCAGCAAAGCTTCCACGTCGCTCAAAGTAAGTACATAAGCATACTAGTTGCAGTTGCGTAAACTGTTTTTCCATTATTTGCAACACTGTCTTATCGTAATTAATTCCATTTGTATTGAAACGGATTCATAGGAATTAAGGAAAATAAGTAGAAAATAGGGATGATTAATTACCAGTAATGTAATATTATTCTATAAACAGCGACTCGCGCAGTGGTTGCTATCTGGTAACAACAAACTCGTCTGTTTTCGCCCACGTCGTATTATCGAAATCGAGTATATTAATGAGGCAGATGCGACCGCTGGCTGCCTGCGAGCACCAGAGGCTTTAAGGCCGCTGCGTCGACAAACTGTAACACACTTGGACGTCGCCGCTGAGGGACTACCGAAGCTTTCGTAAAAGGGTGCGACAGCTTGAATGAATGTTCGGGTAATGGCAACTAATGGCCAACAGCACCCCGAAGCGACAGGTAGTGAGTGAGCATCGCGCTTGGGTCGATGAAAAAGAAATACCAATACTGGATTCACCAGGAGGAAAACGAGCTAAAATTGGGCTAGGCGTAGAGAGCTATCTGCTTTTCCCTGTTCCCCCCGTAAGCACTGAGCGGGTCGGCAGTTTTACATGCTGACCCAACAGGCGTTAAAGATGTATACAATTATCTGGAAAAGTTTTCTAATAGTCGGCATTAGCCTATAGCTAATTAACAACACAGAATTTGTAGATCACTTGTGAGTGGCTCGGGTTCGTGAATTTCGTTAGCGCAAAGTCTGCCGGTGAATTTATGGCTTTAGAGTATCTAGCTCTCTACTGCGATAGAAGCATTAAGCCGGCGAAGTTTCAGTCGAAAATAGGAACACTGGATTTTTTTTCTTAGAAAAGCAAGTTAATCGAACGTGCGACTACTCAGTATGTTTCGGCACTAAATTCCAGTGTCATTTAAAAGCTCGAGACACTTTTTCATGCAAGCTTGGCTTACGTGATAGTGAAAAAGGTAACTGGTCGTGAAAAGTGGGGAAACACAAACGCTGCAGTCTTCATGAAGACGTTCGAAGTCGGAATCTTGCAATGTCGGCTTTTAAGTTAATGTTTATTTAGATGACGTATCAGCCAAAACAATCAATCCGCGAAAACCTTGTTACAAAAACATCAAGAAGCCTAGAGCAAAAGTGCACGTATGGCCGTCTGCAGCGCTGGTAGGGGACATGGCCGTCTGGCTTGAAATCCGCAACAGCTAAATAGGTCAGTCCAGGGGCCTCGGTCTGTCCCAGAACCGTCCGTCCGCGAAACTACACCTTCAATCGAAGCCATAGAATATGGAGAGTTAAATCACCCTTAACCTGGAAAAGGTACAGCAGTGGCATAGATGTTGTCGTCTGCAGAAGGAACAATCGCGGTATTGACAAGCCCAGAAAAAGAGCAGAGTAGCCTTTTGAACACTGAAGCGCTTTTATGCGCGACAGATGGCGACGTTAGCTGGTTGCAGAGGAGGGCTCCGAGAAGACGGATGCATTAGAATGGACAGTTTAAGGTTAAATGGATCTGAAACATGTCTGCAGAAAGTAGTGTCGACTGATCGGCGATATAATAATAGATAGCGATTTACCACTCTGCGACTCTCAGTAGTGGCTCACCGAGAACAACTAATATAATCGATCTCCTCGTGTTTATAAATCTACAAATATATATATAAAATAGACAGGTGTTAATATTCATAAGTGCTTGCGTATTGAATGGTGCGGTGGGTCCCAGCGACGTGCCTGCTGTAAACCATTTAGTGAGCTACCCATGTGGTAGCTAAATTTTGTTCAAGTTTAGCTCAGACAAAGACCACTTCAAGAAACGTCAAAGCTAGTACAATGCCATAAGTAGTTACTCTCGGGTTAAAGGTACTGCCTCGCTCAGTGCGCCTCAGATAATTCAAAACTTGTTCATGTCAGCTTGGCGTCTACCAGGGCTCAAATTTTGTTGCCAGTTGAGTTACTCAAAAGCGGTACATCTATTTACTTAAAAAGTACGAGTGGTGGTTATTTTGTTAGGGCAGTTAAATGTTACTAAAACGCCTCCTCGCAATATTACCGTTAAGGGCTCCCAAGTTCACTTTTAATTCTCTAAGTCTAAGAATATTAGGGAGTATTAAAGACAGTCGAAGCAATAGGGCGTTCACAATAGAGCTGCGTTGTTTTTTTAAGGCGACCATTGAAGCATTCATAGGGCTTCTTTTGTTCTAGAAAGTAATATTTCACATAGGTGTTCCCTAAGCTTTGTGTTATCGCCATTCAGATTTGTCCAATAGTCAAAGTTTTCTTGTCAAATTTACAGTTGATGGAGGAAAAGTATGAAGAAGAAATGGAGAACGAGCGCCAAGCGAATCAACGTCTCCGTGAGCAGATGGAACAACTCAGAGACGACTGTGAAAGCCTACGAAGGGCACTGCAGAAAACTCAGGACGAGGTTTGTTCCTTCCGCTGTAATGTCTTCGTGCTCTCAGTTCACCATCAGCCTGATCGCTATATGGCAACTTTCAACTGAAGAGTAATTACTGGTGTTTATTGCTTGTCCGCGAACCTTTGTCCTTGAAATCTTGCCTAGCTCTTCACTCTAGTAGAAAGGTTGTCGAATCAAAGTACGCTTATTGTGTGTTTGTCAGTGCAAAATAACACTTGTCAAGTCAGGTGGAATAGGGTTTTTAAGCAAGAAAGCGAGGTTGCCTAACACCCCCGGTATGACTCGTAAGCAGGCCAGCCATTTCTTGACCTAACATTTTTGATACTGAGTATTGTTTTGCTAATTACTTTTAGTTTATGACCACGCACTTGCTGAGCCACGTCAGCTAGTCATATCTTCATCACAAGGTTAATGACGAGGAAAAAAGTGATATATTTGCTAGCTGTAAATGTATGTGTTATTGGGAATTATAAGCAGGGGGATTTACAAGTGTCACAGGACATTATGACGTTAACCAACAAAACAATAATAATGTACGAGTCTAGCCGCTGTTTGATATGAACCTGCGTCGTTAATAATGCAGGTAGAGGGGCTTAGACAAGTCCAGCCAATAGCCAAAATTACGCAGCGAGGTTCACCTGTCAGAGGTAGCTCCATGGAACAACAGGATCTTAGCAACAGCCGGGCCCTCATAGTCGGATGCAGCCACAATGTTGGCGGGGGACACCACGATTCGAAAGAGCATCATACCAGAGAGGTACTTTTTTTAGGATGAGCTCCACAAGTTGGATTGTTGCCTCTACGTTATACAATGTTGATACCTGTACACAATAATTACAAAGATGATATGGACATTTATATGCATGCAGATGTTCATGTTTAGCGCACTAGGGCTAAATCAGTAACTTTAAAACAAATCCTTGATAATTTCAGAAAAATTACGAACAGTTGTACCGCCGCCTGAAGCATGATTACAACAACTTGCGCCAGAAACTCGAAACATTGCGAAGATTACATAAGGACGCTGCTTATAAACAATTCACTGCCAATGTAAGCGCTGTCCACTAATGATAATTTCCATTTTTCTATTACTACACATTAAAAGTGCCGAACTGCTCATTTTTGTCGTTGGAAAATCGAGCTTCAATTCAATAATGTAAGTAATGCATTTTGAACATCCTGGACTATACACCATAGTACTTTTACTTTTTTTAGCTCATATAAATAAAAAGGCACAAGTGTGTAAAAAATAACCAATGCCGTAACTATTGTTTATTTTTTGCATTCAACTTTATAGCTTTACAGAGAGCCATCTTGTATGTTTAAATGCAATTTTGTTACTTAGGTAAATTTTGAATGATAATCTATAAGATATACTGAAATTGGAAGTACCAGGCCGAAGAAGCCGATTCACTGCTAATGGCCGGCAGTCCGCTTTATTATAGTGCAAAGGCACTAAGGCAGAGAGATTAAGACAGAACTTGTAACTCTGTGCGCAGAATGTCCTTCTAAACGAATTATCTCGTTCGCTGCACAACGTTTCCGTGGATCCGGAATGCATGCCTGAGGAGACACAAGCACTGTGCGTCATAGTGGAGGCGTTTCGAGCACCGCGTCATCAGGAAGCTGGCTCCCAGCAACAGCCTACCCAACATGAGACATCTACAAGAATAATACCGAAGTGTCACCGGAAAAAGCTGGAGTTCGGCGACCATTCGTAATAGGAAATACAGGAATGACCCCTTCGAGTAATGCGTACTATATTCCAGACTTCACAGTTCTTGGATACGCATGATTTTGTCGTTATTGAACTTTAGAGAATTTCCAGATTATTCGAGAACATGTTTTGTTCCTTATTGAAACTAGTTTACCAGTGCAGATTAATTTTCAAAGCCATCTAGTATCATTCATTCATTGATTATTTTCTCTTATTTTACAAAGTGCAATTTACATAGACGTGAGCCATGCAACAACGAATGTAATGCACTGAAAGTTTGCTCGAAGCGAAGTATTATACTTTGTATTTGTTGCCTATTGAGAAAATCGCTATCCGATATCGTTTTATTGTAGATAAATTCAATAGGACCCGCCAGTAGAAAATTTGAATTACTAGGTCCAACTAGATGGCACTGACTTGAACCAATCGAATAAGACTGAGATGGAAAATCGGTCACCAACACGTTAGCGCCGAACGAATCACCACAGGCGCTTCAACCTGGAAAACCATAGTCTGTACGAACTGCCTTTCGCATTTGATCCAACCGACATCTTAACAAATATATCCTGTACTACACACACATCGACATATATAGATATTTTCTATAGAAACATTCAAATGGACAACTGGACAAGAGAAGTTTGTTATTAGGTTTATATCTGACTAGTATACTGTAGAAGAGGGATGTAACACGTCATACACGAGTATTTCACCGACCCTGAAAAATATCGGCTTTTAAAATTTACGTGTTAGATGGGAAGCAAAAAAAAAGTATGTTTTCGCAGCAATAACTTGCTCCCGAAGCGATCGCCAAATTAGGTGACCATAAAGTGAGCAGGCGAAACTTGGATCGTCCTAGTTTTCGAAAAAAAAAGACTTCATTTGCTCTGTCTCAGTCATCTGCAGGAAAAAAATCACGATGATTGTATTTTTTGTAGAAGCTCATGGACGATCTTAATGAGTGCCATAAGACAGTGCATGCCCGAGTCATAATCTGGTGACTGTTGGGCTATGTATGTGTGTAATGCTTGCTTGAGCGTGTGACTGAATTGGGTTGAAAACACCCTGGTCGATGATGCAGTACAAAAGCGAGTGCCTTTTCTATTTCGTTACACATGTTGGGCCCCATCTATCAATGGTAAGTACTGAATAAGCTTTGCTGACGATGAAAAATACACAAAAAACTGTATTCGGTTGTGCATAATGAAAGCTTATGCGTTCATGAGATAATTCAACACCCTGTCGGTGAAACTGCTCTATAATACCTGTGTCCAGTTAACGTGTTCATAAATTTCAATCAAGAGTGTAATTGTATCATTTTTTTGACTGATAAGACAACGAAATGAATAACGTAATAGTTGCTCTAGCAGGCCTGAAAGCTCTTAAAATCAATTTTTCCTTTATATGGAGGTAAGGAATACGCCCAAGGTGGCTGCTAACGTTTTTAAATCTTCAAGTACTTTAGTTGACTAATACTTTTCGAGTAAGTGGTTGTAGTCTATTTCCCGATCTAGGATCTTCGGACTAAATTACTTCGACGAAATTCCGGCCGAAGCAGTTTTTATGCCTGTTATAGATTTATTCATCGAGTTAACAGCTGTTTTGTAATTGGAAGTCTGGGGCTCAACCGTCTTTAAGCTCAGTATTAAAAGAACATGGTAATTTCAAAATCTGGTTCTTTCTCGAAATTTGGTTTCGTTCAGCGATAAAATTTGAGTTAATCCTATGTGTTTCCATTTATTTTTTATCACCATATCATCAAAATGTATACCTATAATAATATATAGTAATCATATTAGTTTTGCTTGCCAGTGGATAAAGATTCCTTTTTATATGTGTTTCTAGCCGATGAAGGTTAGATATTCACTTCGATAGCGTAGCATTCTGTTCTTTTTGTCACACGATTAATATACTTACTAAATAAATACTGCAGGTCTACGTCAATAATTTGTGTTAGGCATAATATTAGGTAACGGTAACTTCAGTCAGTAATCGTATTAAAAGTGCAACGAAAATATTTTTTTAAACAGTCGTGTCAACAAGAAATGTGTTTAATGAATATAGAATCGGAAAGTTACGTGCCGGTTCCTCCAAACAATTCCTGGGTAACAGCCTTGATTATGGACAATGATCGGGTACGTTGTGCAGAAGCAATCGAATCCAGCTGACAAGCCTAAATATACACTGCTACCGATTTATCCTTCTTTAGAACCTTAGAACAGAACAAAGCGAGTGAACTCAATATTCGCCATAAAAGGTGGAGGAAACTATACGTTATTGTTCAGTATGTTTTTTTGTTGAAAATTATACTAATTAATATTGCATTAATAAAAACGCCACTTCACTGCCGAAATAATTATAGGAGTTCTCATAAGTAGCCATTAGATTTCTTAGTTTTCGGTATATCATTATTTTTTTGTCATTCGACCCTTATTTTTGGAACCTTCTCTAAATTTTTACCATATATTGAATTGTGTCAAAAAGTTGGCTTCTCTTCTTTTGAAACACACAACCAGCAATATATCCTAGAGCAGGTAACGTTACTACATAGATCAATTTAGACATCAAAACATCGACAATTACGTTGGACCATTTTTGTACCCAGTAACATTCAGTCGATCGTTGGATTCTGTCCACGAAGATCGTTCAATTGTCTCGTACATCTTCTCATCGAAATTCATAAGAGCGTAAGGCCAGCTTGTCACATAAAGTGAAGCTTTAAGAATACTTTAACTAGTCGAACGCGACGCGAACGATGTTTACATTATAAACATTTATGGAACTATAATCTATATGAGTCTCAAAAAATATATCACATTACTAGCATGAACTATACTACACTATGTCGTATTCCACTGCATTCTGTAAGACACGTAGAAAAGACATTCCATTGATCTACACACTAAAATGTTTTATTTTAAAAAACCCAAACGCACATTCTACCCCTTCTTAAGACTCCTGCGGTTCGTCGACTCACGCATTCTCACTCACTCTCTCTTTCTCTCTCTCTGTATTTCTCCCTCTCTCCCTCTCTCTCTCGTTCTATCTCACAGAGGATTTTAGTTGATCTAAGCGCAATTTGCCTTTATCGACTCTTGTAAACCACGAAGGAATCATTGAAAAATGGCCACTACTGCTTTATAGTACATATATGATCGTACATTAATATTTACTTATTGTATACTATTTCGGTAAGAAAACAGCAATACGTCGTTCGTGTTGTTAGTTATTGCGGCTGTTGCAGCTTCTTGAAGGTCTCCTCTTCTTGCATCGAAATAGACGTAAGCCTCTTACCAATACGTTCATGGATCTCGAGGTATTTGGCTACGCAGCGATCAAGGCAGACAGCCTCGCCCTTGGAAAGGTCTGCCTCACGGTACTTCGTCGGAATACACTTCTTCTGACATGCTGATGTCATTCTATAATTAACGTACGAGTCACGTACGAAGGGATCCAGTCAGTGTCACGGGGCGGAAATGTAGGAAACCGAAAACAGATCGTCACAAAATGCATTGTCAAGCAAACATGCTCACATAGATTTTAATTAACCGACTGATTTCAAACGTTGGTATTCAGTCATCGTTTGCGCAAGTTCGAGTCTCGTTCGGCAACAAATTACACAACGTACAGAAATAAGTTTCTTCAGGAATAGGAACAACGCGACTCGTGGTCGGTGTTGAAGAATATGTACTATGACTTTTGGCCTGCTTGTGGTCTCAGTTAAATAGATAAAGTCAAATTAGGAATCTAGCGCTGTAACTGTCGGTCTTACCTATTATACATGTCAGACATCATTTCCATCTCAAGTTCTTGCATTAGCGCCAATTTTGACGGGTCCAGTTGCATTCCTGCTGCCATCGCTTATGATCTCCTCTTTTGGCTTCTGTGTTTTCGATAGAACAGAACCTTATCCTGTTGTGTGAGCTTAGTGCGACCGGCTATTCCCCTTGCAACGTTCGGCGAAAAAAGGATAAACAGGAATCAACGAATACTTAGCGATTATGTAACCGGTTACACCTGTGAGACAGATCCGCGGACCGCCAATTGCCCAGTTGCTTCACTTTAGATTTTAACGAAAAGGATGATTTTTCTAAACAGCTGGTTTGTTTGTAACCGATGGCTCTACGGCACTGCTATCCTTCTTGAAATTCCTGCTTGACCGAAACTCGTATTCGCCTATGGTTGCACGCTTCATACGCTCCCGAACCTTCATTGCTTCATAGCGTTGGTTGTGGATTGCAGTTTTGGCTAAAATAAAACCTCCAACTCCTGCGGCTATGATTATAGCCCTGAAACAAGCAGGAGGAAAACACCTTGCTGAAACTATACGCTAAAAATGGACAATAAAGAAAATTAAAGTTTCAGTATTTGCTTTATTCATATGGGATATACAGGATACTCGAGACAACGAATTAGGAACATTGATATCGCTCGGTCTACCCTAAAAGCTGAATTCAAATATAATAAGCTATTTAGATGGCTCCATTTTTGTATGTGCCAACAGACAGGGATATTCCTTCTAAAAAGCACTAGCCGTTAGAGCTTACCTAAATAACCTAATCGGTTAGAAGTAGATACTATTTACCGGAAAATAGCTCACTAAGAAGGGTCGTCAGAAATGGATAGAAATTTTCAAACCCTATTAGTATAATGATTCTGTTCAATATCTGCTATGCCACATAAAAATCCTCCTCAGGTTCGTTGCAGAATGCGCCGTTGATTTGGGGCGACCAAGTAGCTATGAAAGTTCGACCATTAATATCGGCTTATTCTATTATAATTCCTTGTCATTTTGTTCGATCTAAAGTGAACTTTCTTTTAGTATCAAGAGCAACAGACGTACGCTAGAACGACAGCGAGTTCGCCAAAATCAGTTTTAATTTAACCCGAGCACCCTGTATATGTAAATCAAATACGAATTCCATAAAAACAAATACTACGTCTGCTAGCTGCAGATAAAATGGGTTGCCACGTTGACCGCCGCCGATGTACTCAATCATCAATAATTAGTACAGTTCTAATATTCAAATTGCGTTAAGCTAGTTTCGAAAGCAAACATCGACGCACTATACAGCAGTGACCTAGCAATGAATAGTTGTTCGTGCTTTCAACATAAGTATACGAAAATGTAAAAAAAATAAGTTAGACATTGAGATGAAAAAATGTAGGGAAAAGCCCAAATTAGTATAAAAGCGGAGGCGGGAGGATACGTCAAGCTGAATTTTAGTACTCTTTAACCTTTCGAATTTTCGGAACGGATGCGCACGGGTTGGAAATGTAGTGCCACTTGCATCACTGGATGTATTTCATAGAACTTTCAACGAAAAGAGAAGGATAATAAGCAGCTAGTCCTTCTTTCGCAGTTTAGTCTGCCTCAAAGCTACATTCTTGAAGGCAAACTAAAGGTAAGTATTGTTTCACAAAAGTCATTATATCGAATCATGCCACCCTCTGTGCTCTATAAGCCATTACACTTTGAGCATATATGAAATTGAATGTCGTTGATACCGATTTTACCGGGAAATTAAATTTGGAATTCAACTGCGTTCAGTATGTATGAATGCGTATACATGTATATGTTCATGTTAAGCTAACCTAAAGTACATCCGTTCTCACATGCAATTATGTTTGACAGAAGATCTGACCATTTTATTGACATATCGCATTATTTGAACGAAAGAATAGTATTGTTATTTATATTACACTACAAATAATTACTATAATGGATCAGCATTTACTAAGAAGCCTATATAGTTTCATTTCATACAAGCCCGCCTTATGGGACTAAACGAACCAGGAGTAGAGCTAGACATAACGATGATTAATTGCTGATATATAAATAAAATTGCAAAGATGCGATTGGTTTAATTTTGTTTTTGAAAAATTAATTGCATTTGTGTTTTATCCTGGGAGCGATTTTCTTTAAAAATTTCGTAACATCGTGACGTGAATACACTTATACGATACGACGATATTCGATAATATCCCAGATGACTAGACTATATTTATAACGAATATTCCAAGTTTTACGTCCGGTGCTAGAGTAGTTAGGCACTCCTTAAGAGGACTGGCTTGCAGCGCAAAACGAAGGGTGGCTACATCCGGTTTCGAATCTGGGTCATGTAAAACTGGTTATTAACTTCCTTAAGGTATTAGGTCATTGTAACGACAGAAATGTTTTGATAACATCCGGACAGACTCGAATCAATTAGAGCATTGCCCTCAGATACGTGCAAACGTACAGCGTGGCGCATTTGTAATATATATATATATATTTCAAATTAAATGCACCAAAGCCCAAATTTCAATTATTTTTAACAGAAAGAGAGATTCTTTACATTTGGAACGCGTTTAAGCATGATATAGATTGCAAAATATATTTCGTAGGTTTCGTTTAGTATATATTGGGCGAACGATACACAGAGGCAAACGGCTACACGTGAGGTATCGATGCGATATCATGAAGGTTTCCTGCGCGCACCGCGGATATACCGTTGCTATAGCGCCGGTTCACTATCTTATCGTGACACAAAATAGGAATAAACCATAGCCATCTTTTATAACTATCAACTGATACCACTTACCAAGACGCGTGCACTCGTGCAAGGGTGTTGACCTTTCTGGTCATGAATAATGAGTTAACCTAACAGCTGTATCGAGTAATCCAACAATCTTCACTTCGAAATGAATTCGGATTCTCGTATTGGCTACGGTTCTTCTAAAATGAAACTATTCACGTGCAACTCTAGTGATGTTGATAAAATTCTGTGTTTATGTTGATGTTATAGGAAAGTCGTCGTCTGCTAATGTCAGGACAATCGCAAACTTTGCCTATAATATACGCAAAGCGCGAATTTTTGAGTTATGAATATAGGGATCTTTAAATTGTTTCCAAATTTTAATATAACACTTCTTGTTCTACATCATCAGAGTAAAGATTCACTTACCTGAGGACAAATTTAGGCCCCGTCAAATTGGTGTACCAGTCATGCGCAACTGCATCAGCCTATAGTTCTCAAAAAAAAAAGTCTTACATTTCCTACGGCAAAACATGTCAGGTCGCCACCGCATAATGAAGCATACAAGGCCTAGATCAACCGAAAAAAAAAACTGGCGTAAAATGAAACTTCTATTAAGTTTATATCATTTTAATGGGTACCAACTGCCATGACGATAGTGTTCACCCCATCTCGTCCCTTCCCCGCATCAGCATCTCTTTTACTACGGGGTCCTGTCGACTGCATTATTGCCGCCACCAAAGCAAGATCATTGTTTTCATCAGCAAAGCTGAGAGCGGCGGCGGCGGCCGTCAGCGGTCTGTGTATATAAAATCAGCAGTTGAAAACACTCCCCTAAGGCAAGGGCTGTAACATGGCATCCTCCATTGGCTGGCTGATTGCCGCTCACATAGGAAATGGTGTTCCTGTTTGATTGGACAGTTGGGTGAGATTGGACAGTAAACGGGCACTAGAGTGTCGAGCATTTGGACTATACCAAAGGCTATAGATAGCAGCGACAGCCGACAATCTGTAGACAGGATTGTCACTCTGTGTATGCTTTACGATTAAAGTCTAGAAATGTATATTTCCTACGAGTAAAATCATGTGAGAAACAGGATTCGACTCGTCCTTATCGCTGTTAACGAAATGTCATTCTTTCTAGTCTTAGAAATGAATGGTATTGCCAGGTTGTTTGTTGTTATTAACGCGTTGTTTGGTACCTGAACCCTGCCCTGCCCGCCTGTCGGTAGACCAATATCAATATGAGCGATAACGCCACAGGCGTTGAATGGTAGTTGAGCGTCAGCTACTGCCGTACGCATGGCAGTGTGACAATTACGACGGTGCGTGAACCGTCACTGAGGAGTTGGACCTTAGAAAAGGGAAGCCCTTTTTATTTATAGTTTCAAATAGAAATTACAGGATAGGACGCAAGCGACAGTTAAAGAAGCTGACGTTGCTGTCCGTAACATTGCCAGGTATCGTCAACAGGACCAAATCACAATGCTGTTGAATTCGTCGTGACCAAACAGTGATTCTTGGCAGAACAAGTGGTGCTGTGGGTAGATCAAAAAAGCATAAGTCGATTCCTCTCGGCCAGCTGTTACTGCAGCCGACATTCACCCCGTTTGACTTGTTTCGAGTACGGTGTGGATACGACGAGCAGAGTCACGTTCGGTGAAAGCTGAAAGCGGCGCAGCTTTCAATAAGAGAAGTCGTGCTTTATGTGGACGTGCGGTGCAGCGTAAGTTCAAATAGTTGCCAGTCATCGAAATATTGCAGCTGATGCAAGAGTTATCAGAATCCCAGAAGGAAGAACAGCGAAATCTAAATCCTCATGCTTGCTACAACCAATGTACTCTTATTCCGTTTAGTCGTCAGAAGTAATCACTTGTTCTTCTCGCAAGTTGTAGCTGTCAGTTCTTTCAGCAGCTTCGTTGCCCTTTCAACGGCCCTTCGATACATTCAGTACGATCTAAGGATGTTTAATAGGTCCAGGTTGTTTTAACTAGTGCTTTAGGTTCTTTTAGGGTAGTTAGGTACTTTTAACGTGTTTGCGTGCTAATCTTAGGGATACGTTGTAGTCTAGGTAAACGGCGATACCGGGCGTAGAACTCGAAACACGAACTTTTTTAATTAGCACACTAAGTGTTGATCATAGTAGAAGATGCATTTGGACCAGTAGCGATTTGAACTAATGCCCGATACGGTAACAGCTGCTGAGCTACTTGTTTCTTAATTAAGATGACGCGCCCTCTAGCGACAAAAACAAAGCAAACGGATAGTAATACGTGTATGTGCGCTGCCTAAGACGGCGGCGATGGAAAAATGGTTTTAACTACTACAACCAGCCTTTATGTTCTGGCTTCAACTACCATATCATCAGTATATTACGTTTCGTCTTGTTTTACCGGTGCGCTTAACGTTGTTGTCTATCATCTGCTGACCACCGAACCTCCTGCGTACACAAAAAGGATAAATCCGTTTCCAGTAATAACAATACCACGAATGAAGCAATTGCTATTTAGTATATATCATCAACCAGCGAATAATTGCTTTAGCCTTACTGCCCCAACACACGGAACGATCAGTGTTGGTACAAAGAACACCCTGAAACAAAGAGGTGCGTATAGACTTGTAGTAAGCACTCGTGACCTTGGACATAACGAAAAATTGATTTGATCATTGTCTTATTGTCATTGAACAGTATGTAACGGTTAATAGAAACGAAATCTGCTATTACGCAACACAGCCCTCATACTTATCAAAATTTATTGGTTTTTATAACGAAGTCTAACCCCTTCAGCGCCGAATCTGTCGATGCTCATTTACTTTCAATTGATTTCATAGAGTAGCAATAGTAGCAAAGTAGAGATAACAACTGTTGTCCAGGCCCGACCATGCCTTTATTGATTAGAGATTGTTCTATCAGAAAATAATAACGATAGCAAGAAGGTCACATCGTTTCGCCAATGCATCCAACACGTCGTCGCTTATCGAAAGTAATTTGTGTGCCGGCTGGTGCAGCTTATACGTTCATGTGTTTATATATGCATATATGGATGGGATGGGAAGAATCTCATGACAGTTTGAGAGACTATATATATATATATATACGTTTACATGGAGGCGCTTCTAGTGTAGTTAAAACAAGCAAAAGTGCTGCAATCGGGGAACTTACACCCATTTATCCCGTTTAAATCTCAATGATAGATCTACTTTCACACCTGACACATAATGGTGGGTTTAGTTAAGAAGCTTTATGCTACAATACGCGATCTAGCAAGATCTATGGACACCCGACTGTTATTTGGAAAACCACTTAAACGTTTTTCGTGCTATTTGATTAATTCCACCTAAGTGTAATAAAACGTGTAAGTTGGTGCCAGCGCGTCGTAACCGCTTAGAATGCAGGAATTTAGGGTTTGCTGCAAACGACATTGTTTTCCTGCAAGATGGTTTTATATATGTTACACGATGGCGCGTTAGACAACCGGCAAGCAAGAAGTCAACTACTTTTCTCAATCAAAGACCATTGAATAATACTACAAGGGAACTGGTCGATTAGAACTTTGAGCAATACAGAGTTCCATGTCGTGTAATAACTTTAGGGTTGTAAGCGCCCTTTATTTGGCTTCTACACATTGCGGGTTCAGGCTCGCGGCTTGAACTCGTTATCTCGGATGGTAGCTATCTTATTTCGAAATGCCACGTATTGCCTACAGCATTGTTTCGAATGGCTTGCTCCCACTAGCTACAGCGTAATGGGAACTAGGACTTATGGCCGCATAACAGTTATGTTTTGAAGATTTTGAGTCATTGCGTGGAGCGTGGTTAAGTGAAAGTTTAACAAATCGTCATACGATAAGGTTTTATTAATCTTTCAGATATAGCTCATCTCTCTCTACTACACAGCAACTTGACCTAATTGATTTAGCCCTTAGCCTAAGTAACGCATCGTGCTTGATAAAACGTCCGGTATCACTCCATCACACGGCTGGCTCCCAACTGTGTCTGTGCCCAGTTCGACTCTAGATCGCATGTCCCTAAGAGAAGCACGTTACCCGCTGAGCTACCAAGCCGCTTACCTATTTTTACAAAAATGGGAACAAGTCAACGTGTGTACTAACTTTAGCATCATAACTAGGAGTATCAGCAGAAGACTGCAGTTAACATCAACTGTGCGTGTTCTTTGTTTCTAGGACCAAATAATAATTTGCATTGAATTTTTGATTCAAATATAAGCAACCAGATAAATCTAACGGAAAACGTTGAAGACAAAACATGTGTGATTATTAGTTGTCACCTATAAACGATTGATCTATATGAAGCGAGTACTGTTGGTGGCATCTAAGCGGCACGCGTTTGTACTAACGTAGTCGTGTGTTCGGGTGTTCCATTAGCTCATCGTGTCGCACTTAAGTGCAGAATTAGCTGGATCTATGTTCGAACATCATATCGGGATGCCACGATGACGGAAGTTTTGATTGACGATTGTGACAGCCTTTCTCGTATATTATACAAAAGACATAACTGATTAGCAATGCAATTCATATATACAAAATGGTACGTTAAAATTGGGGGAAGTTTGGCGAGCTGCTCGTCGTAGCGGGCATACGTTCATCCGTTACCCCTGGTACCAGATGAAAGCCAGTTTTTTTTTTAGAACAAAGCACGTAACTTGTCATTGTGTTCATACAATCATACAATAGCGAGTCATCGAGAGTCAAGAGCGAAGATCATTTATTATACAACATATATTCGCGTTGTACGAGACCCCATTAAATCTAAAGACTCTCTTTTTTGTCCAAAATCGATAGTCCACGGTATAACTAGTTTTTATGCAACTTCTGAGAAACGTAAAAAATTCTCATGGGGCGGAGCAGGGAGTTTTTAGCGCTAAATATATAATCTATAGTCTAAATGTTCAAATATACGATATATTTTGATTAGAAGGGCTGGTTGTATGCTCGGTTTGAATTCGAGCATAGACACGCTTCTTTCGTATTGGGAGCCAGCGGTCTGACGAAACGCTTGATGGCGGTGCCAGATGTAAAACATGAAATGTGATAATTAGAGTGGCTGACCCAAATGGCTCGAAGAAGCTATCTTTGATACATCTAGATTCTTTAATACAAAAAATATGATTTTTTAAATCCTTTACGTTCATTTGCATCTTTTTACTTTTGACCGTTCTGGGCCCTCAGTTTTTTGGATCTTCGACGTCCCATCAGCCCAAAAATTTAATTTTTTGTATGCAGCATATTTGAACATCATTTTAACGAGTTTACACGTATATAATATCACCTGACACACGTTACTGTTAAAAGTTATTTGCAGATTAAAAGGAAAAACATGTTGGAAATGACTAGTGAATGGGGAACTGTAATCCCGGTGAATGGTGTTCAAATAAATCAACATGACTGTCAGGAATGAAACTTTTAGAAGATTTCAATGAAATGCCTTTTTTACTTAGAGGGTCCGAGAAAAAATGCACAAGAAAAGTTCCCGATGTACACCCGCCATATATATATATATATATATACCAAAATTAAAGGCTTTTATTATGATACGAGTATTACGTGCGAACGCTGAAAAAAGGATAGAATAGAGATAATGTGAATACAATCTAACTAAGCGCAAGAGTATCGGATTTTGCAACACATTAAGTTCGTATTTGAGCATCATGCGTTTACCGGATACGCGCGTTTCCTTCATAAGTAATTTCGGAGAAATTATTTCGGAAATACTTATGCACTATTTTAAAATATCGGCAGTTCACTGTCAGCTGACTGTTGCGGTTGAATGAAAGCCAATGTTATTGGATAACATATGGGTTTATAATGTAACATCGTAGATTTGTTTCGTCTTTTGAAAAGTGCATTTTTTTGTGTGCAAACCTTTGTATTAAGAAGTGTGCAAATCAAGAGATTAGTTTGTACCATTAGTGACTTGAGTACTAAATGTAAAGATATTTATCTGGTACCTAGTTATTTGCTAAAAAAAAAACACGTTGCCATAGGCGAAAACAGCGTAGATAAAATTGCGTATCTCTCCTGCGTCATTAATTGACAGATAAATGTGCAAAAATGGATTGCCATATGTTAGGATTTTGAATAAGTAGAATTGCCAAGCATTACTTTCACTGCTTTTTAAGTTGTGTGAGCTACTATACCCACGTACAATCAAGACCGGTGATGGCTGAGATGGATAGATGAGATTTACACGAACTTTAGTTTTTAGGTGTTTAGCCCCTAGTTACCCCGTATAACTGTAGGCTAGTGTTTATAAACGGAGCCGCAATCTGGGAGGAGAAAAATAGTCACGTAATATTTTCGCCCGCAATTGCGGTTGACAACAGTCATGGCACAAAGTAGTAGAAATATAGCCGTTTAATAGCGTCACTGTCTTTATAAACGAGTGCTGAATCTTATTTTAGAAGGTACATTTGAAGTAGTGAAGTACACTAATATTTAAATTTTTTATATTTTTAAGATTCGAAGAAGGTATATTTTTGTCGTAACCGGGAGTCAATATACCGAGAGCCACAATGTCTAAAATAAGTTGCGTTCTATGTCGTTTTGGAGCTAGACGCTTTGGGGCATTTTTCGATTCTGAAATGACTTTATATGTAGAAAATAGCAGAATTTTTGGATTTCTTTTCATGTTTAGCATGCAGAGACTGAGGTAAAAAGTGTCTTGAAGTGGAATATTCTAGAAGCCTAATTTTCAATCGCTCGAAGAAGTTCATGCATTTCCATTATCTATAAACTATAAATACAATTTCTTCCTGTTCTTTCCGCATTATGTTGCTTTACGGTCATGTGATATCCGTTGTCGTTTTTTAAATCCGTTATTAGGTGTTGCATCTTACGGTAAGATGGCTGCGGCTACAGGGCATATTCCGCAGAACTTTAACGCCGGTCGCTGGTCGTCGTGGCGCGCATTGTGGGTCTCTGCTGGCGGAAGCCTCGCAGATGCAAGTCTCGGCATTGCTATGAGGGTCCCCGGACTTTTCATTATCGATTATTGGTGGCAGTTCGAACGAACCCGAGCTTTACCTCAGACGTTAGAAAACACAGCTGTGATGCAAGCACTCCTTAATAATGTCGGTAAGTGTTTGAAAAATGGAATAATGCCAGAGGCGAGTAAGAGTGATAGTCTTGATAAAAGATGGCGAAAATAACATATGTACATATGTATATGCGTGACTTCATAGAGGTGAATAGATTTCTTAGACTTATTTTATCTAAACCTTATGGAACTCAACGCCTGAATGCCACCAAATGTTAGTCATCTGCGTTGCACCTGAGAAGGACTCTGCTACTGCGCATCTAGAAGAAACCGCATTTTGAACATATCCCAAGAACAAAATAATATTCGTTTTATTAAATATGCTTAAAAAAACAGTGAACCCATATAAGCCTGTTTCAAAATACAACCGGTTGGCAAAAAGATGCTATACATTTCGTAAAGAGAACAGTTCCTATACCTCTAATCGTTGGTTGTAAGTTAGATCAGCCAAACTAAAGCGTCTTTATTTTAGAAAAGCACTTGATCCATTAGATAAATGTTGTCAACTTTTATTATAATTGTTATATTGGATTCGTCAATATGGTGAAAGTGAACTCACGCTGAACAAAGCAGATCCTATTATTAATAGCTACATGTCATCGACCCATAGAATTGGTCATATTTGTTCTGTTTCTTGGATGCTTCCAAACGGGCCACATAGACTAATGCGTAGGCAGTGTGCGTTTACCGAAGTTAGGCGTTCGGCGTAGTAAATACAAAACTCGTACCATCCAATTTTTTTTTTGACCCAAATGTTCCCGTTGGGTAATGCAGTCGGTTCTGTAATATTTAACTTCGATTAAAATTAATTACTAGTAATTGTAGAGTAACTAATTCGCAATGTGCTGATTTTTAGGAATCATTAAATATGTCGGCATCCAATTATGCATACACGTTTCTAGCATGTTAATGAATAAAAATAAAAATAACAAAAGCTTAAATATATTTCTGTCCATAAACTGGGTGATGTTAAGATAGTTTTAGTATAGTATACAAATATATGTACTATTAATCAACAGATAACGTTGCCTTTGATTATGCAGCATGGTCTATTGAAAAATATGTTTCTGAAAAAAGAAATTGCATTGAAAATTATACTCGATATAAACTTCGCTTAATATAGAAGTAGATAAATCAAGATCAATGTTACTTCGTCTGTACAAATGGGCCTAACAAATTGTACGGACATTGCAATCAACGTCGATTTCACTAGCAAGATCTAACTGAATTGTTCTAATTATTTCTGTCCATCTCGGTTTCAGTGCTCATCCACGGCTTCTTCTTGTTACTCTTACCTATCGAGCATCTTCGCACTCTGTACAGTCATCTTCTTTTAGGCGTTTTGTTATTTATGTCGCACTTTGTCAGCGAACGTTACGTCATTATGGAGATGCATAAAGAAATGAACCGTGGCAGGGGGCCATCGTTCTCAGAGAACCTGTTGTTTTTACACGCGCCCCTAGATAGCTCAAGACATGGCTCGTCTGTTTTCTCGCTCGCAGCCGTCGTAAACAGTTCATGCCATTTCATCACACTGCTATGTCATCTAGCAATCTCGATGGCAGTGTTCAGCTTTCTTGAGCGGCCCTCGCGATCCCTGCAGATTTTGCTGTGCGTGCACATGTTACCAGTATTCGCACGTCTGGCCAACCTTCCTTTTGAGACGCTGCCTGTCTTGCAGGCATTTGGCGATAGCTTGCTCTGCCTTTCGGTATTGTACTACATCTGCTACAAATTCTCCTCGCTGGTAGAGCGGGTAAAGAAAATATATACAGACGCCGTGGCCACTGGCCACCATGGTATCGATACTATGCACCTGTTGTCGCTTCTCTGGAGCAAACTGTTTGTGCCTACACATTTCGTCGTTTTCTGGGCTCTCAGTTTTTGCGGAAAGGTCGCTGAAGGCTTGCAAGCCAATTCGAACTACTCCCCCCGACCGTTAATGTTCCTGCTGCAGTGCGCATCAGCCGTGTGTTGTAGCCCCATCAATCTTTTAGCAACATCAATGGTCGTGTCGTATTTATCTAATCTCATCATTCGCGGATCGCGGCTGTTTCTTGAAGCGGAACACGAAGACAATCCTATGCATTCCGGATGGACTCAGGGCTTGACGCTGGTGTTACTCGGTTTGCAGACCGGTCTCATGCAAATGGAACTGCCGAGTCGAACATTAGCACTTCTTGTTATTCTTTTCGTTGTCGCTTCGTCTCTTCTGCAAAACATTCTGGAGATCACGGAACCAGTCGTTCTGAGTTTGAACGCGTCACGCTCGCTCACTAAATGGCGCCACATCAAGGTGCTTATGATGTGTGCGATGCTTTTTGGTTTTCCGCTGCTGCTCACGTTCAAACTAGCCTCCATTCTCCCGATCGACGCGTGGATCGTGATGGTTCTAAGCACGTGTGTGCTAACCTCCGTTCAGGTGCTCGGCATGCTATCCGTGCATGCGTTATTCGTGTATGATGGCCTACACGAGCAGAATGTTGACCTTGACGACGTACTTTTTATGGCACGGGCTTTTACAAAATTACTCGAGCTGCTGATTTCACTATTCGTTATTGCTGCCAGCGTCTACGAGAGTTCGACAAGTAAATGGAACCTGGCGAATTCGACGATCCTAATCGTACACTCGTATTGTAATGTGTATCAGCGAATTCATACAGGGTGGCGAAGTTTTCTACTTAGACGGCGAGCATCGATGATGATTGACCTACTAGCCACTCCTTCGTTGGAACAGCTTGCAGCTTATCGTGATGTCTGTCCTATTTGTTACCTTTGGTTACCTGGCGGAAGCAGCAGTAAAGGAACAGGCGAGAACACCAGCTTCAATTCATCCTCATCACTATCGTCTTCGGCAACTTCGGGCCAGTCAACTATGGCGGCAGCTGCAGCCTGCTGCATCACGCCATGCTGGCATTACTTTCATAGGAACTGCCTCAAGAAGTGGCTGTATAGTCAAGACGCGTGCCCAATGTGTCACCAGAAGGTCATCTCCTCAGTTGAGGGTATCGCTGACATGGGTGCGAATGGCGCCAGCCAGCATCAGCAGCAGAGTTCTAATAACTCTCCAACAATAAATGCCGATAATGACCACGAGGTTGAAGAAGAGGACCTCAGAAACCAGCAGAGTCCAGTAGTAAGCAGTGAGAACTATCAATAGTTGATACGTTATGTGCACCTATCGTTATTTGTGTAATAGTCATATTTGAATACATGTAACGATATAGACAGGGATAATTTGTATACAAGTGTAGACCTCTGTTATTAAAACACCGGAGACTACCGGATAGTGCCCATCTAAATAATTGGCTGTCTCGTTAAGTTGCGAGAGTAAGTCATACGTTATGGGATCGAGACATAGCAAACAACGTTCGGTGTATAAAATAATAATAAATGTTTTTTCGTTAGTAATATATATATATATATATAGCCTCGTTTGCCATGTTAGCAAAGACGCTGTTGCTCTGGGAGGCTGACGTCACTGCAGGTCAAAGCAGTACAAATCTAGGTGAACATCTCTTTACTGTATTTCTAAACGAAGTCTAAAACTTACGCAGGCTGGTTCCTGTTATAGAGAGTTACTGTGCGCCGTTTTACATTCACGTGCAAAATATGTTACTATTATGAATTATTCTAAGTCAACTATTGAAATGCTGAAGGAGCTCATGCTACTTTACATGATAAAGGCCAGATGAATGTCAAAACATTTAAACAAATTCTCTCCTCGTATGCTTTTTTTTTTTATGTATGTGCATGTTTTTATGGAGAGGTGACGTTTATGAGTAAAAGGACAAATATATTTTTTCACTACAATGTTTACATAAGTATATAGTAGGTCAGACGTTGTTGAATCTTAAATGAAACAATTCCCATACATGTAATTCTTGTATTGTCGTTTTTGCAAAATGTCTAAACGAGCTAAGCTGTTTACACGTAGGAAAGAGTGGTCATAATATCGTCCGTAGAAAGAAGGCTTGAACAAAAGGTCAGTCTGTGTTACAGGTGAATTGTTAACTATTAAGAAAGCTGGATTTCTGAACAATATAAACTTGTTATTGATTGTAAAACGAACCTTAAAGAGAGCTGTTTCAAAGAAATGAGCTCTCCATAAAGTGGTGGTAGTCATTATAGATTCTGGGCGTGGCACGCATACGTATAATCGCCCATGTGCGATTTACCGTCAGCCTAATTTTTTGTACAGTTTTTCTTATTTACTGTTATATCTTTCTTTTGTACTATATAATGGGGAATACTAAATTAGCTATCTCTTTCTAAAGGGACCTCGCCTACCACTGTGAAGCCGCTCAAACTCTAATAGCCAAAGTTATGCATGTTTCTTCGTCATTTTATGAGCGTGGAACGGTCCTGACATTTGAACGCCAGTCGCACTTTCACGTTTGCGAAATAACTAGAGACGAGGCGTTTCTTTGTCCTGCTACCTGATGTGTTATCAAGAGTTATAAGGGCGCTGTTGTCTAAAATCATCGTGTATAAGCAGTCTCCCCTTATTTCATCTCTTTATGTCTCGATGACGTCTACAAGTCATATGCGGTAACTTATGTCGCTAGCGGTAAAATCGAATGCTTTTGAGATTGGAAAACAAAGCAAAAACCAGGTCTATAAATATCTTCTAGCCGACAACCGGTTCTCGATAACGGTAGTAACATAAAAGTAAAAAAAAATAGATTAATTATAATGATCCAACGTGTAGTGCTTCATTTACAAACAGGAATTTCCGCAAATGCTATATGCCTACACATAACAGAAGCGCAGATATAAAACCCGTCATTTTTGTTGTAAAGTACATGCCAATATCATGTTGTAGCTATATAAGTATATAGACTGTATATCCACGTTGGCAGCTTGAACAATATTTCAATACGAGAAACGGCAAATAACGAACGAGTGCGCTTTTCGAGTGGAAACTGACAGAGGAAGGAAAGAAAAATTAAGCTGAGGTGAGATTGACAACTGCGACGGGCTGGCGGATAAGGCTTGCAAATTATATTTATGATTGTTTTCATGGCTCAAGCAGGCTGTAAGCGCCCCCACTAAATACGATACGACCCAAAAATAGGTTTCGGATTAATTCTCTGTCGATTAGTGTTGCTAACCTCTAATAAAGGTAATGATATCGAAAAAGAAACTCTGCCAATGAGATGCTGTCCTGTGTCTTGAATTTTGTCCATTACTACCTAATGGCTAGTTGATATAAATTTGCGCGTTGCAGTCAATGCCGTGTTAGAAGTAGACGCCCATGTATAACTTCAGTTATACATGGGTGTCTACTTCTAAGCCATGTTGATCATGTATGAAATTTGCTTCAAGTTATTTCGGCTTAAAAATAGATGAGCGGAAAGTCGCCCGTAGTTCAAGTTCTTATCTGTCAAACATCTCCTTCAAGGGCACGAAGAACCTGTTAACGGTTTACACGGTCCAGGCTCCCTTTAAATCTAAACCATACAAACTATTTCCGGCACTAGAGGAAGAGCTTCTCTAAAATATTCTGTCAAGAATGTATACGCTACGGCAGCTTTCATAGGTATAAACATAGTCATGTTTTTCCAGCGAATTAACTGCATATTGTGTATTTTCAAAAAGTTTATAGTTTGAGGATGGCTGGCTTTATTACCTTATGTCCATTAATTGAAACTACATCAATGAGTTGCACAGACATCAAAACGTGGCTATCATATTAAGTTTAAGTTGACTATGCTAAAACTCGGTTGGGACCGAGGTTTTTCTTCTTCAGTGGGCTAAATCCAAAAAATGCGATAGCAGAAAAATTATCTGTCCACCCAGTGTCATTTTCTCACACAATAAACGACATATTTTTAGCTAATTTCCTCTCTATACATATAAAATGCAACAGGTTTTTATAGCAGCTGTTTTAGTTACGCATGTTTTGATGTAGCCATGTTCGTTCGTGTGGGCAAAAATCGATGCTCTTCTTCCCGCCTCTTCAATTTAACATTTTTTTTTAACTTAGAAAACGGTTCGCACCTTGTAGCTTTGTAAATCAGTAGCAACACACTTGCCTTTACTAACTCGATTTATTTTAATGACTCAAGTATATAATAGGAAACAGGTTTCACTGGCGTAGTCTGGCACAAAATGGTTTTATGACTGTGAATATCTACTGTATTTTAGGTTAGTCTCCTTACTGCTTGCTGATTTTTGGGCTCCATATCAACATTTATTATTTTACTGCATCGACCGCCTTTTGGATCGGCTCGCTGTCTCTATGACGAGGCTATAGAGGGCGAGCACGCTGATGAACAATCGTTGGCATGCTGGAACCAGCAAACGATGTTGCAGGTCTAAAAGGATCGCATGAGTGCATACGTGAAAAATCAGGCACGTGAGGTGCACGTTTGATATGAATCGCTCTACTGTATAGTATCCACAAGACGTGTTTTTTTGGATGGACCATTCTTTTACTGATTTGCTAGGCGTATAGAGGGCCTCGCTGAACCACATCCATAGTATACATAAGAATACTATAAACTGGCGTTCAAGCAACCAGTCAGAGACTGCTGAAATTGTCGTGTTGTTATCTAAAACCACTATTCCGAAAATGGCATCTTTTGCAAGTCAATTGTGGCAACTTCGAAAGCCAACGACAAATCGAAACGATGATGTCAACGCGGTAAGTTGCCTTATCCCTTAATGGAGCCAGTGTTTGCTGCTGTATCGGATATTAGTCTAAAACTGGTCCTATGTTTCAAGCTTATTAAGATGGTCCAAAGTTAGAAACTTTATCAAATCGAACAACTCCTGTTCTAGACATCATACACGGGGGAACCTGTAATTAGCATTTGAAATCCAGTACCATGTCAATATAATGCTGTATCTTAAACTAAATGGTATCTAGAATGATATTAAAGCAATGTTTAAAAACGCCGCTTAAGAGGGGTAGTGCGGCTCCGAAACACTCTTTGTAAACTTAGAGATGATGACCCTGCGATTGACGTATTTTTTATGATACGACTGAGAACATTCAATTGATGATGTATCTTGCAGATTCAAGGTGAGTACCCAGCATTACCTTTTGTGCAATTTGCATTGAACAAGTACTTGTGTAAGAACAGATAAACGATACATCGCACAGATCGTCATATAGGAAATAAAGTACAGCACTAATTTAATAAACGAACTGTATTATAATATGCTAGGTTAGAACATCTATTTCAGGCCGCTCGTTGACTTTTAGTGTTCACCTAAAAACAGGGAAGACGAAAAAAAGAGGAAACTCCTGTTAGTCATTTTATAAAAATTTCAGCTAACAATAACTTATTTTATAGCTTAACAATAACTTTTTTTTTAGAGATTTTGAGTAATACGTACGACCACACATTGCCTAGACAAAATCTATTTTTCGTGGGATGGGTCCAGAACTCAGCTTCGATGGTTGGGTTTGGTTCCGCTGAGGCCACTAGCCAGTTATTTACAGTATATGTCTCGTATACTTCGATCCATTAACCCAAATCTTTATTGGATAGTACTAAAAGTTTATCTGATGGCCTTAGACGGAGATCATCGTGGCTGAGTGCTCCATATACATATATATTGGAATTTTACAAATGGACCCTCCCACTTCATATCGCTGGCTTTTTTGTCTCTGCGTACTAGATGTCAAATAAACATACCATCAACCAAAAATGGGGTTCTCAAAAGTTTTCGAAAAATAATATACAGCCATAAATTCCTTTTAAAAAAAGTCCTACTAATGAAGCATATGAATATGTACAATAATAAACTTACTAACGGTTTATTCGAAAAAACGTGTCTCGTTTAGTGCACGTACCAGGCATGTTCTAACTATGGTAAATGGGTCTACCTATGATAAAAAAAATTACGATAATAATCACATTATTTAACGAAGTCTAAGTTCACCACTGTATAAGAAAAATGTAGAAAAAAGGCTCAAACACATAGATTGCACGTAGCGTTTTTTATTTCCACGGAGCAAGAATTAAATTGCCTGGGACAGGAATCGATTCGTTTGTTAAATCAATTAGATAGTTTTCCCACTTCTTACTAAATTTGTGTTGATTCGTAGCCACGCTCTATAAAATCAAACTGTCAAATACAGCAAATTTACATCTCCCGGAATTATCATGGTAGAAAAATTTCGATAACATATTGTTTTGCAAAAACGAGACGCCTAAAAAGTACTTCGTTGTGATTATTACATAAAAAGTACAAGGTTACATTTGTCATGTAACTTACAGCTCATAAGAGCAACCTAGATTAGATTTCACTTCTCGTCTTCAGCATTGCACGACTTTGGGCGCATGACCACTAAAGAAGTAAACGGCTGAACAGATTAATCAGTCAGCTTCTAACCATTGTCTATTTTGTTGTACTCTTAGAACGGTTCTATCGACCAATCTGCTCCCATGGATGGCCAGGAATCGGTTCTCTATAGCGACCCATTTAGCAATGCTGTCCCCGTTATCGATCCTTTCTCCGGCGATGCATTAAAAAATGATCTATTCAAGGGTAATAAGAAACTTTATCTAACCAAATTTTATAGCTGGTCCACCTGCGAGCTTATATGTTTTGCTATCGGGTAACCTGTACGAAAACTTCGAATTACTTTATATTCCTTCATTGTTTCTCATTATATTTCTGCATGCTTGAACTAATGTAAAAAAAACATCTACGTGCCATCGTAAATTGCTGTATAAACTTAATTCCTAGGCATGTCATTCTCTGGAAAGCAATAACTGACTAAAACACAACATACGAGGTAGATTATTTTAAAAGATAGAACTCTCTTACTATAAATAAAACTTCTTTCAGCATTGGCTGGCGCGCCGGTGTTGAACGCTAACCACCAGGCAAATGATGGGTTTGACCAGTCCCTTGAATCAACGAATCCGTTCACTAAACCTAGTGACCAAGTGATCAGTAAAGCCCTGATACAAGCTAATGATTATAGGTCTGAAGATATACCAGGCGGCATGAAATGTGAAGACAGCGACTTCTCTGACCTTTGCCATATCGGTGACAAAGGTGTGCGCACGCCGACTCTATGACTCATTAGGAATATTACTGCTAGTGGAGAAGCTCGCGACTGCCCTTTCGCCTACGATCTTCCATCCCTAGATGTTCTTGTAGTGCAACAGCCTCATTTTAAACGGCGAGGCGGCTTGCGCGTAATAGTTTAAACCTCCATGAACTCCTTTAAAGGCTAGCTTTGTGAAAAAAAATACCTTAAGTATGAAATATTTATTTGACTGAAAACGACTACGTCACGCAACTAAAAAACAGGCGTTTTTCCATATGCATATCTACTATTTTTATTGTGTTTAGCGAGGAACACTTGTCCTTTGCTTCCGCAAGAAATCCGCTATACAATGTATACAATATATTTACCTATAATAATGTAGACAAACCTCTAATATGTAAGTTCCACTAAAAATTTAAAATTTTACCCTACGTTTGGCGATTTGTTGATTTATTATTTGTCCTTGACGCGTTTCGCGAAATCCTCAGAAGCAGCTTTTTCAAATACATTATGTGTATCAGAAATGTTTATTCTGTTTGAAATGTATGAAATGTTCTGGTAATACAAATGTGATTCTTTTCTATTGTGCACTGCCAGAGGTAGTCAGCATCTCATCAAAGATGACCACCTCCACGTTATCCAACGCTACATCCTGGTCAAAGCAACACTTTTCATCGTTAGATGCCTCAATGGTTTCATCGTTCGGTGACATGAGTTCAAGCGCACCAACGTCGAACTCCGCGAAAACCTCTGCTTTAACGTCAAACCCGCAAAGCTCCTCTAGCGCGACAGTTTTAATAAGCGGTTCTTCAGACAATGAACAGCTATTAAGCTGTGAGCTTCGTTCCATGGTTAACTCGACCTTCGAAGTCGATAGTGGGCACTCAACCGAAACTGTGCCAAGCTGTGTCTATCGAGAACTCGTTGACGAAACAGACGCAGAGCCGAACACGAGCCACAATGAAGGTCCTCTACCGGATCAGGAAGATAATCCCGAAAAGCAGGCTACAGGGGTTCTCCAAGTACCTCAGGTTAAAACGACTTAGATTAGGCGTTAGCATACTGTAATAACTATAATAACCATTATGCACTTGCCCTCAACCTCCCAAAAAAAAAGATTAGGCTAGGTAATTTACCAATATGAATTCATGTAATCGTGAGGCAATCGGCTTACTTCACAAACATTTGGAATGTCACGTTACTATGACATTCACTGAAGTTTAATACGTTAAGCTCTGACTCAATTAATAGGAGCTTACAACGAACTAGAAAATACAAAAGTGTTAGTTTTTTCGTAATAATACATTAGGATTTATATATCTGTAGATATTTATATATTTGAAACGAGCGGTAAAAATAGAAACGGGCAGACTGGAACAGATGCATAAGATAATATTCATCCATGGCCATGTTATTTCTCTTTTAATCCTCATCCGATTTGACGCATCCATTTCGCCTTCTTGTGTAGATCCTATTCACCGAAGCAACCTTGTTGTCTTCCGAGGGGTCGAGCTTCGAGGCGGTCAGAACCACCGAAGGTGTCGGTGAGGGCCGCACCTATTTGTTAGAGTCCATTACCGCCGAGGACGAAACAAGTATTACCAAAGACGAGCGCTGCTACAAACCATCCAAAGTTATTGTCTTCAAAGCAACTGAATCTGATGAAGAGATCGCAGGTGAAGGCGACGCAAGCATTGATAAAGAAGATGCCAATGGGGCTCGGCATATAGATTACGAAACACTTGAGACTCAACTTGACGTCAGTGGCAACCATCAAAATAGGATTATGAATCTATCAGATATCGAGCCTAGCGACGGTACTGAAAAAACGCACGAATTCGAGTCGCCTACGCTTGTAAGTGAACCTGCCCTATACCCATTCAGAGCGTCTTACATTCTAATGTGTAATATCAGTTTATTGGTCCTACCTCAGATTACCAAATCAATTAGACTTAGGGCTTGTTTCCTGCTGAACCACTCATGTGTATAATTTACTTACCCTTAATTATTATCTGGCTTCAATGCAGGACTCGGAATATCGTAGACGTTCGGCGCCTAATGAATTTTTCCCAAATGGCGAGGTAGACCTAACAGACCTCGACTGCCTAACAAAAACCTGTAGCGTGGGCGATCTAAACAAAGGCGATAATTGCCTAAACATCGTTGAACAACCGAAGGTGCTCACGTCTTCGCCCATAGCATCAAGGTTGGTAGAAGCACGACCTGCTTTTTACAGGTTCTGTTTGGTGCACTACTGAATGATACGCTACAAAATATTACACCACATACGTAATACCTACGTGCTGAAGAAATTTGGCTGAAATGTACATTCATAGTTACTTAGAAGTTGTCAATAGGGCTAAATTTCTGGATAAATCTATGTTTAATTTAAATGAATTTGGTATTGACTTTTGCTCATACAAGAGAAATCGTCTATTCAAGGCCCGGCAGCAGACAAGCTGGCAGTCTTGATTACGCAACATCTATCTTTAATCCGCTACTTACCAGTCAAAATTATACAAACTCCAGCTATTGACCCATGCTGTATAATGGGGAAATTTTGTATATCGATGCAACTATGCAGCGTATCATTGTGTGCCTATGTTTCCGAAGGTGAAAGTTAACTTCGTGTGATTTTTTCTGTGCCTGATAAATATCTGATAAAGTATTATTAAAACAAAAAGAGAGATTGAAATATGCACTTATACTAGGAAAAAGACCACTGGAAATGACCAAATGCAACCGCTACAGCTGTGGCGCAAGGAGTTCCACCAAAGGATCGCTTTCCTTGACGCTCAAGAACAAAAGGCCATCGAAGAGCTTAAGATGGAAGCCCAACGATGTAGGGATAAATGGTACGTGCACACGTACGGACTTTTATGGGAACAATCTTTATCAGCTCTCGGGCAGCTGTGTCACCTTCATTACCTTATCTACCATGTAGCATGAAGTTTGTAATGTGGCTGTTGAAAAGTTTTAACAACAATACTGTCTGTCCTGGCTGTCACTCATAATATACATCGCATGCTCGGATGCTAATTTCATCAATACTGTCTCTAAACTTCAAAAGCAATGGACCCTTTAATGTTACCCCCCCCCCCCCCCTGTTTACTAGATTTCTATAAACTAAACATACTAGCTGGTGTGCAATAAAATATAATGAAAGAAAATCTTCATAATATTTCAAAGAGTGCATTCGCTTAAACCTGTGTATTTTCAATACTTGTCTACGGAATACTTGCCCAGGTACGCTAGTCGACAGGAAGAGATCCGTGTTCAACACGCCGCTCATATTGAAAACGAAAGCCGCGTCCGCTCGCTAGCAGATGGCGACCGCCAAGACCCGAAATCTATCTGGAATAGGTATCCTATAAAACCTTGGACTTTTATCCTATATATATACATATATATATATATATATATATATATATATATACCGTTCACATTTCCCATGATCTTGCGAAATTAATCTTTTGCAAACTTTGCTTGAACGATCCTCGACGCGGTCAAACGAGAAAAGGTCGCTGCATGCGGGTATGCTGTATGCGCTATAGAGCATTTCGTGTATCATTCATGTTCATTTCTTTATTTGGATTTTAGTATGACTTCACTAGCGCTAGAGCTGCAACGAACTCATAAGGCGGATGAGGTCAACAGGGATGTATCAAGAATGAAAAGCCTCATGCAACTTTTGAAACTTCGACCACCTCTCCAAAATTTTAAATTTGCCTGTGCCAGCCGCAAATGAACCAACGCTAATTATTAAGTTTGCCTCGCAGGAAGAGATATTGCGAAAGAATGGATAATGCGGAGTGACGTTGGTTGGATTTTATAGTAGTCTATTGCATCCGAAATTTCCGCTGGGACTTAAATAATTGTATGTCTGCGAAGTATTATTATTATCTATAGTTAGTAAACGTTTTTCAGCTAGAAAATGACGCGTTGTAGACCTGTCGTACGAGTTAAAAATACGCAATAAATTGTATTCTTAATTGTGTAACGTAGTTGTCTTATGTTTGACGACTATGTAATAGAAATCTAGTTCCCTAAGGCACCGTAAGGCTTTGCCCAATGAGCATTTTATTGAACGATACATTCTCTGAAAGGGCAATTCTCTAACGTGCGGTAATACACCCTAATCGTGTTACAGCTGCTGTCGATTTCCCACCGGATGTATTGGTTCAGGATGTGAGTAATCTTACAGGACAGATTTATGTTTTATTCCACTAAGAGTCGCTTATTATCGATAAAATCAAATAGCTTTTTTTTATTCGCATAGGCTGTCGGATTTCTAAGTCCCTAGCCGAACGAGTCTTTTAATTCAAGCCCCCCTATAAGCATACGTATACTTAAGTACACGATGAAAAATAAAAACCAACAGTTAGAATACGTTTCTTAACTAGATTATCCCGACCTCGTTCCATACGGTAGCTTTATATTATACTCTAAATAACTGAAATTGAAAAAAACCTGTCACATTTGATTTATGTGAACACAATTCATATGACATACTGTATTATAGAAGACGTCTGAAGAGCGAAAGGTATTATAACCAATAAAAGCTACATAAGTTTCGAATTGTATGGTCTTAGAGTGTGTATTTCAAGTTTCCAACAGAAGGGGGTTGCGTGTGATCTTTTTTTTTGTGAACTTTGACAATCAACAATTCAAATCCGCAGGAATATACAATGTATATTTCATTACCCGCTACCTAAATTGAGTTCAAGTTGTCTCATATCAAGTCGGTGTCGTATAAAACGTTTCATAATTAACAATCCCATTAACGAGGATAATCTTATTAACACTATATATCTATCTGAGAACGCCATTATTTAGATGAGAACCGAATTCAGAGATCCGAATCGTCCCTTTGGTTCTCCTAGTTGACGCTCATGTATATTGTTGATGAGCTCGAGGGCAAAATTGATTTCTCATACGCTCCTTATTCATCGTTTACGCTAGTGTTAAAAAGGGAAGCACTCTTCGGGCCAGCATGAGGGGGACGACACAATGGAAGTGACGCGTCACTGAATCACGACGTGATGCTCTGTCATTATTAAACATGATCCGTCCGTTATATGGCAATGCGTTACTGGATGACTGATTTGACTGTGTGAAGGTCCGAAAGCTTAATTAGTCTTCCAACTACCGTTGAAAAGTCATCGTAAAAATTCAATAAAGCTCAATAGTTCTGGTTCACTTCATTAGCAGAATTAATGGCCCATGCTGCAAGTCTTCCCATAAAGATAAAATAGTGTGCTTCTGTTTGTTATCATCAGAAAATTTGTGCGGTAAGATATAGCCGAATCTGTGCATTCCTGCGATAAGAATACGCGCGAGGGTCTAGTGAACGGCTAGTTTTCTGTCTTGGCTCTAAAAACTTTTGACCCGATTGGTAAGGCGATTAGAAAGGTGCAAGACATCGGGCGTAAACACAATTCGTTCCACGCTAGACGTCAACCGTCAGAAGCTACACCTGAAGGCAGCACCGGACGTAAAACTTAAACCACGTTTATTGTAAAGCTTTGAAAATTAATAATGTATTTTGATCGTAAAATTTGAAAAAAATAAGTTGTAGTAGATGGCTCGATGGATTAATCAACAAACGCCTCTCGAACTATCTCTCTAATATTCATAGAACTGAGCCATATTGATGAATAGGACCTTTGTATAGCACTCACGTGCCACCGACTTGTCTTCGTACGTTCATGCAATACATCTTTATAAGCAAACTTTGCAAGGTATTCAATCTGCTTAATACAATATTGATAACTTGAGGCTATTTCAACTTACCCATACATTAATGTATCTTATCATTCTTTTTTAACCTTGGAGAGAGAACCATTTCAGTGGCTTTGAACAGAACAGCTACTAGCCGTTTGTTATTTCGTTAATATGGGTGGTCGATTTACATACGCTTCGGGTAGAAGTTGCCGCAAAAGACTGTTCACAGTTTTGACGACGCCGCCTGAGGCTTATCTAATCGCGCAATACCATAGCCTTACTATTTGAGCTTCATAAATTAAGTAATCTATCCTTTTCAGCCCTGTTCAGATACCTTTCTGATCTAGTTCAGGTACAGGCGTGTGATAGTCTTTGAGCATCAATCATATTGAATGAGCCGAAAGTTCCTCCCATGCACATACTTTTGAACTTGAAAAAAAAATAAGAAATTACTCAAATCCCACTACCCACGTAAGAAGGTTCTACCATCAATATACGGTATGTTCATGTATGTTCACGCAAGCCCCGTTTTGAACCAGTAGGTTTTCCGATCCTTCTTACCAGCACATTCGTCGAGAAAAACTTGCCACTGAATGCATTTCGTTTTACTTTTCACCCTATTCATTCATAGGTCATAACACAAGAACCAGCCAATTGTGTCGGCTAAAAAGTCATCTCTAACAACCGCAGCAGCATCGGAGCCCTGTCTGGTTATCACGGGCGGCCGTCGTATTTGCATTTCCGACAACGGCAGGCCAGTCATGGTGAGAACTCGAAAGCCAATGACCCAGCAACCTTGAACTAAACCTTGAATTTCGGAGAAAACAGGGATATTTTGACAAGACTGAACACGACGTTACAGAACAATCAAATATGGGCGCTTACGTTTGGCAAAACATCGCGTCATAACCAGCAAGAGCATTAGTAGGCAGTGAATGGAAATAACAACAACAGCAGCAACAACTCTGACATTTAGCGATCGTTTTTGCATATACTTAGCAATATTATAGTGTCGTATATAAAAGTGCGCACATATACTCTCTCCCTTCTTCTCATACATATATATATATATATACAAATATAAAAGGGCAACGCCGTCGATCCACTCAAAGGATTCCCCTTTTAAAAGGCGTCTGACGGAATCATTTGAGTCTGGGCAACAGTGCTTTTAGCGACAGTGACAACAACAACACTGGGCAGCTTGGTATATTAGCCCATTTAGATACAGCGAATCGAAAACGACGTTTATGAAGTTAATAATGGGTATCAACTGATATGCACGGTCTAGCGGTTCGTTTGCTGCCTGTTCTTCACTACAACGGCGTTATTCTAAGCAACATACGCCATCTTAAGCTCTGTGCCTACGTCGCCCTGCTGTTCTGAAGTCGCCCGCAATTGCGATCAGTACTTATCTACCTGAACTGTTTGTCCATGCGCTTTTAAAGTCCTTATATATGAGGACTAAGGAGTGAGACATGAGGTGACCACATGGCTTCACCTGCTCCCACTATGCCGTATCGTTGTACGTGAGTGCACATGTTTCTAAGCGAATTTATCTCTACCCACGTAATATTAATATAATAGTATTAATGTACAAATAGTAATATGCGTAATAACAAACGTTACCATGGGCAATAACGGAAATCATCAGTTTTGCTGAATACCGTATATTCTTCCTAGAAAAATTTGCTCACAGTGGGCAGTAGCGTCGCGACTGTAATGTTTTACGTTACAGGAGACTGAAAATGGTACCTTGTCGTGCAGTAGATTCCGTACATACACTACGAAGTCGAATCCAAACAATACTTTGAACTGTCCTAAAATATTCTTATTTGCAAGTAGCGTAAATTTATTGTACTATCCGCTCGTGTGTGTAAGAAGACCAATAAACCTGAGCCGATATCTAAAAGGACTAGTGTGAAATAAATGATTTAATACACACATTCATAGATAACGATGTGGTATTTAACTTGTTATACAAACCAAGTTATTGATAAACAATGTATCTCTCTAAAATACAGATTGAATTTTAGGTTTGCAGTAAACCTTTATCTTTAATTATTTTTCCGCATCCATACTGACTTACTATAAATTAGCGGATGAATTCGATTTCTTAACTCAGGTCGGACCATATCTCAGCTTGCTCTTTCAATGATTGCGACCTTTCCGCCCGTATGGTAGATCTAGTATTACAAAATGACTATACTCTACACGTTAAACAATAATATTGCCAAACTAAATATTTCACCCATTATCACGATCCCGTCTATGACTTTTCGTGATGCAAGTCTCGCAAACACGGGAATTTCTTGTTTAGTCTAGCGTCTGCAATCACGGGGATTTTTGCTCACACATTTGTTGTCGCTGCTGTCGCTGCCGCTGTTAACTCTAAAGCCGACATTTTCTGTCGTTGAATCGAGACGGTATATAAGCGCAGCCAGGCAAAAACAAGCCAACTGATGACAGACGTATGCGCGGGTAATGCGTTTAATGATACGAACGAAAAGAAATAAGGGAGAGGCAGAAAAAAATGAATAGCGCAGAAGTTCAGCTAAAGAGCCACAGAAAGAACACGAGTCAATCAGAACATATTGTGAAACTGTGTGACGTTGTGTATGCGGCACATGTGCTAATATGGCATAAATAATAGGGCTTGTAGGGAAAATATTACCCGAAGAAAGGACGCTGACTCGAACGCGATGATATGACAAGTTCATCATAAGGAAATGAACGTAATAAAGGGTTATTTTTTCTCACAGTGCATCCTATAAAAGGCAATTGATGTTTAATCTTGAAAGGAATAAATATCAAGTTAATTTGGTTCTTTCATTATAAAATCTATTGTATATGCCTTGCAGACAGGTTTGTAAAGATGCTGAAACCAGTTTCGGAGATATACAACCTCTACCTTAGAACGGAATGATATTGGTTATTTTGAGGTAGGTAGGAAAGGCTAGTCTGCTAATTTTATGTTGTGTTTTAGATTCGAATCCAGGCATAGACAGGTACACGACTCGGTTCGTGCTGGGGGCTAGCCGCTCGATAGAATGTCTAATGGCGGTACCGGACGTAAAGTTCAAAACATAGTGCAAACCTAATGCATCCTTTGGAAATATTCAGCTCGAACTCGTCCCGGCACACCATCACCTATATATATCCGTTCGTCTTTTCAATGCCATAACAGACTCGTTTCGCAAGCCGAGCAATGCTTCAACATTCTCCCCGTCAGCTACCATTTCAACCTCCAGGAACAAGCACTAGGTTAAATCAACTCGCCTTGGTTTACCAATAGGAGTTACCGGAAGCGCTACCTCCCTAGCCCTTGTTTTCAACTAACCCTGATAATTTTCCTACTGCCCCGTGCGTTCAGTTATATCCTTATCGGTTAGGTTATATCAGGCATATGTCTTACCGTTCCATAGTTGCTACTAAAGTCACACCGATCTGGCTTTCCTATATCATCAGACAGAAACATAAGCTCTAAGGCCATTCGCTCTGCGTTTAGATAGCTATGTATGTGCGTCTATTTTTAAAATCCATACTATCAAATATGTTCCTTACATTTATCGTATTTGAACAGGTTTATAGAATAAACTAAATTCAGTTGGAACCTAGATAAATATTGCTCCATTAATTTCGATATATTCTATTGATTTTTAGAAGTTTCGCTATACTATACGAGAACATATGCACACGCAGATATCTAGTTTAGGAAAACTAAATATAATTTCAACAACAATTTCCTGGAACACTCTAAGTGCTTCGCGTTTTACGTCTAGCGTTGCCGTTAAGGGTTTCATCAGATGGCTGACTTCTCGACACAACAAAGTGTATATACATTTAGATCCAAATGTAAACCACTTGGCACACTCTAGCGTTTTGGAACCAGTTCCGCTAAACTGTTAAGCACTGTATTAATACATATACAGAAATAAAGAGCATAACTCTTAGCTTTTCTGGAACTTCAGTTTTCAAATTAGTATAGGCAAGAGCAATGCTGCGATATATTATCCCTTAAATCTATGTTCATCCTTTGATACAGCCTTCGATCACGAGAAACTTTGTTCACTTAAATTCTTATACGAATGTTTTCAATTTTTATTCTATCCGTCGATGTAGAAAAAAGATCAAAAATCAGTATAATATAAAATATAAATACAGCTATATGAGCTAAGCGTTTTCTTGCATTGGCAGACATATTTTTATTGCATAACCTATCTACCGCCTATGAACCGCTGCGGATGACTCCTTCTGTCTCAAGCACAATATCTCTATTTTATGCATTTGTATTGACAGTCAAGCCACTATTTTTTCGTTCCAGATCACAAACTTCACCTGTAACCTCTGTGTGTACGAAGTGGCAAAGTGACCTCGCTCGGTCAGTGTCACCTCGGGTCTATTACCCGTCACGTTTTTCATCAAAAGGATCTTCTTTGTGTCTTCTGTCGGTCTAATGTTTCCTAGTCGCGCCACTGATTTTTTTTTACCTCGCTATGAACGGCTCACAACAAGTTTGTTTGCGTTTTCCATAAAAACTATGAAGTTCTCCAGCCGGCCAATCGCTCGCTGGACAAACGGTTTCACAGGGGGCTTCTAAATGATCCTAATGCGATATGTCAACAATCGATTACCACTCAGGGACGTGTCGATAGATGATATCGAGCGTGTTAATGGAACGATACTTAGAGATTTCATAGAAACGATTGCATCCGTGCACTACTGATGTAACTGAATGGAATTAAAGAAAATTTCTTTAGGTACGCTATAGGTTTACAGGTAGAGCAAATTCTTAGTTGGCATTGTATAACTAATACATTTATTATAATTAGTCCTAATTGATTTCGTCATATTTAAGTTTTTCCATGTGTTTTCAAAAATTTTTTTCGACTGAATAGGTAAAAAATAGTTCTTATCAGGCAGTTTGTTTGGGACACAGAACACAGAAATATCTATGAAAAGACCGGCTACGTAGAGCTTTAATGTAACGTTCCAACGACAATCAGTTAATATTTTGTAGAATATTATAGACGCATGTTTTGAAGTAAATGACACGAAGGTATACGAACCTGTATAACGTAGATAGGTGTGACACATTGTGTGTAATTACCTACCTGTTAAGCTGGCTCATGGTTATGAAATCTAGAATGAAATTATCCAACTATATATTTCCGTGTGAAATCAGCCATCAAAGTAAGATCTCCTGTATGCGACATACTATCTGCTTCTCTACTTCTTGTTGGAACTCTACTAGATATTTGTAACACTGTCCCTTGTTTTACCGCCGCAGATTCAAAACACCGTTTAGTTTCCGCTGCAGCCCTCTACAAGGGATTGGATCGATGTCGCCATTGCCAGCGTAAGTACTCAGCGTACGGTGGTTCAGCACCGCCTCTCTAATCCTCCAAACTGTATTCATATATTCACAGTCACAGGGCCAGCCTTAACATAAATAACGATATTTGAAATCAATAGGCGATCGTTTTTTGGCCATAGTCTGGCTTTATTAAACAAACTATTAGGATACAAAAAAATAGAAATTTTCAGAGAACCTTATTCATTTTTTCCATCCGAACAAGGAGAAGGTGAAATTTCAAAAGATTTTCACACAGAACGAGAGCAAAAGGCTATTTGATGAGGTTGAAACTTGTTTGCATTGCTATAGCCATTGGCTAACGAGGATAAACAGTCTAATTTGTAGAGAATAGAGGCCATTGTGTTATAGTTGATGAATTGCACGAGATTTATAGCAATCAATTCTGAACTAGTAAGAACAGTTTATCGTAGGCGTTATAGTTATTATGCGAGTGCGTTACGGAGCCCTATCAGGACGTATAGATGCTTGTTAATAGGTCTGTGCATACACGTATATGGGTACGCAGGGAGCAAATTCGGTATAGCGCACAATTCTCGCGCACACTATTTGTTTTGCCTCAGAACTTGTACCACCTAATTGACAGGTGTATTCTGACTTCAATTAACGTTTTCTATCACTTCGATGTCTACTCGGGCTTCACCGCCTGAATAATCGAAAACCGAACAAGTTTTCCACATGGACCTTCTATGGAACACGGCCATCGAGGCCTAGCAATCGAATGATCAAGGCGCTAATTTTATCCCATAACCGCTGATATTTGCATAGGTGTGCTATGATTACGTCTTGTCGCAGCGAGTCGATCATCAGCTGTCAAGAGCTTCCCCTGTGCATATTTCTATCGGTGCCTTGTGATTTACTTTATGCCAGTATCTCACACACTATCCTACTAGCCCGAATGGCTGTATTTTTTTAATCATCGCCGAGCGTTATTCGCCACTCGTCATGGATTGCTGACGTGATCACTCAAAGATTTGGAACACGAGTCGCTTTTTGGCCTCTATACACTCGGCGGTAGTGCGTTGCTTGACTGCTGTCAGCAGCTGCTGATTGGCAGCCGTTACATCTCACGAAAAAAAAGCCCCCCCCATTAACGCTACAGCATCGAATATCGCTGGTTCGTCGGCTTTTTCCAATATAAAGCTGTATAAGTCCGCGTATCTTGTTTGGGTCCTCGCTTCCGGGTAGCAGCATAAGCAGAAGACGGGACGGCAGGCTACCGCCGTCGGCCAAATCCGCTGTCGCGTTAGGCTGATACTGCTAATCGTTGTTAACCGAGAAGATATAACGTTCATGTTGCAGTACATTCAGTCGAGGAAATAGTGGCAGCAACAAAGATAATGTTGCTACCTTGTAACACTTGTGCAAAGACCTACATACTTCATAAATGGTACAATATTTTAATTAAACATGTACGAAGAGGGGCGCTAGATTGAAAAGTTGCTTTTCCACCCATTCTCCGATCAGTGACTGACAGCAGAAATAAATAATAGGAGTGCTTGGTCTATTTAGATTTATGCTGTTGGATTTGAAAACTGTTCGAATGTTAATGCAGCACGTAGCTTTGGCAGGTATTCCTAGATCCGTTGGTAGCTTCCTGGTATACTGCTACATCGGAGCGCATTAAAAAACGGTGTCATTCGTAATATAATGAGTGGCCGCTTGTCAATTACTGAAACAAACAAAAAAACACCGTCAATTGTACAGTGGTGACGTGCCCCTATATGCGTTGCCCGTGCGACAAAAAATTCTAGGCGAGCTAGTTCACACTATGTATGCTCTGTTATATTATTGAGATGAATGATTATACTTTATTTATTAATATATTTATGATTTGAATATTACAAATACTACAGTCGCGCAACAAAGCAGCCTATTTTTCAACAAGCAATAGGTATAATGAAGGGTGTTCATGTAAAAAGGCTACTTTTTCTTGGTTTCGAGTTATACATCTTTTCTAAGTTCGTTTGATTTCCTGGCGAAATGACAGTTTTTTTGGGGGAAACATGAAAGTTAGCTAAAATAAGAGTAAGTACAAGCAAGAACAGAACTTTCCACGCAAAGGGAGCAAATTATTTTTTCTCAAGTTTTTACATACTTATTTTTTGAGTACTTTCAAAGCATTCGATAATCTGACAGCTTACTTAAGGGAAAACTGGCAATTTTTACGCTTCATAAAGTTTAAGGGTTTCCACGAAAAAATCGTCTTAATTGACAATGGTGATCACTGGGTCAAGCTAATTATCGTTGCTTAAATTAAAAAAATCCATATGCTACCGAAGCAGTGTTCCAACGTAGAAAAAAATTTGCACCACAAAACATCTTGTAGTACTTACTGTATGTAGTATTAAATAGTGCCATAGAATCAAGACCGAAAATTTAAAAGGTAGCAAGTCCCTGCACTGTCTGTTAATAATTATCGAGTGAAGCCTTCAAGATACCTTTAAATGCATTGATCACAGACATCGTTTGAAGCGAGGAAGGTTTCGGTGAAGCTGGCCGCTTCGTACTAGCAGAAATTCGATGTTTGCCGTCATCTATTCTTGGCAAAATTTCGTGGCGGCAACAAAGGCTACGGGTGCTATACATTTCCGTGAATGGCACGACGCGTGTGATCACGCCAAAGTCGACCGTCGGCTCGGTAACCTGGGGCTGTTTCGTCCTTGAAGTCGGCCTTTGCCCTTAGAATGAGAGCTGCTTAAACCTTATATAATCAGCAGGCTGACACACACCACTTGAGTTTCACGTGCACGAAAAATATCGTCGTTCGTTTCACATTCGGAACTTTCGTCAGTTGGAACAGGTGAGGGAAAAATCACACCAGTCCAAGTGAACGATACACACTCTGTTATTGTGTACTAAGATTAAAAAAATAAAAAGAATTTTTGTTTTTATGCAGTTGATCGAGAAATTCGACTTCATTCGTTTACTTTCAGTTTAAAAAGCTCAACTGTCATTTGCCTGGGCGTGGACGTAGGGTCCGTTTTGTGCTGAGAACCAGCCATCATAAGGAATGCGGACACAAACTCGAAACATGTAACTATTATTTATTACTAAAACTATATGTTCAGTGTCAACTTCGCATGTACTTAATTATATGTTACATCAATATAACAACCTGAACTTCTACCTACACATATGTTTTCTTAGATATGGGCGACCGATGAAATAAACGAGGGGTACTGTCTCATATGCAAGAAGGAAGACTCCGCTTAATTCACCTTACTCTACTTGCTCGACCTCTCGATTGCGTTCTACCGACCGCAGTGACCAGGTAATGAATTATGCGTTGTTTTAAGTATTGCTCTGAGCTTGAATGCTCGAGCCTTTTCTCTCCATTCAGTTCTATTTAGCCTACTCATTGTCCAGCCCGTGTCACAGCTTATGGAACACTACGTCTATCCCAACCAGTAGAATCCCGAATGATGAATAGAAGTGGGCATAGATAAAATACAAATTCATTAAAGGTATAGAAAATCAAGTTGAATTTTTTCATTTTAACTTACCTAGCGTGTCACCAATTCGCCCCCAGTGTAGTGCAGCATCAATAAATATATGGTTAATTTTTATTGAATGTTCACACTTTGTATTTACAATTTTGTTTTCTGTTCTATAATCTATAATATATTTAGTTTATGCTGATAGCAGCGACAGACGAAAGCCGCATTCAGGCTAATGCTCGCCCCATTCGTGCCGTTGACAACTACGTTGCAATCCGCAGTGTAGCAAAGGGTCGTGCTTATTCTATCTGCTGGTTAAGGTTCGGTTCAACCCTGACTGATGACAGCAGTGATCATTTTTGTAGTGATCGATCGATTAGTAATTGAAGTACCAGCTAGATGAATGATTTATTCCTGTCGATTCTCATGCCTAGCTTGTTTGCGCTATAATAAGACGGCCTACGCAAATAGCTTATATGGAATCTAGTATGGAGGAGAAAACAATCCTGCCTCATGGACAACAGACCTTAGAGCCGGATAGATCCTGTAATCGGTTTGGATAATGGCCATTGATGTGGTGCGTGAAGGGCAGAAAAATCAGCGTTTCACGCACCAGAAACAGGACACGCGGAGGTAATGATCTAAATAGAATAGATGCGAACGGATGCTGCGTCAGTGTGCGAAGTTCTATTTGAAAATCGCCTTTAAATAACATAGCTGATAAGAACTTTTGACTTTTCGTCACGTTCATTATTAGCGTTCACGGCTGCCTTGGCTATATTATGTTATATAGATGCTGTGCCTTTTTCATTTTTACTTCCATATTATAAAAATACAGATTAAGAGATAGATCTGTGCTGTGCAATTATGCATCCGTACATGCCCAAATATATCAATATAATATGACCATAAATAAGCAACTTTTGATAACTTGAGCAATGTCACTTGACAGTTTGGAAGTCTTCTTCGACATATCTGCAATATATGTACGTGATATATACCTATATTTACAGTAGACAACAGTAGCCCGCAAAGAGACTTCTGCCATATTATGTACGTATGGGTATGAATGTCCAAAGTGCGGCATGCTAACGAAACGTACGTCAAACACTTAAGACGGTACGTCAGTCTGGACAATCGAACAATAGAAACAGACAAGGAAAACAATATACAACATTTATCGTTGAAATGCAATACTTCCATAGAAATAAAAAAAAAATACTTCCCTCTGTGGACCGCTTGTCATCTGCTCTTTTTATGCCACCAGCTCCAGGTTCTTAATTTGTTTTTATTTCATACAATATATTCGTTCATCTACTACTGGTCATATTTCAAACTATCTGTTGTATAATCCTGATCCCCACGCAACACGTGGGAAACAAACTCGAGACGGACCCACAACTTAATTCAGTCAGACAATGCTGTGCACTTCTTATGGTCTGCTTGCAACTGGAACCGCAGTAGCAGACAAGAAACGCTATCCAAGGACCATATATTTCGCCGCAGCTCAATGTCTAATCTGTGTTCAGCCAATATTATATGGCGACACGCCTGGATCAGGGATTCAGAATGTAGGAGAATTGTGCAGATGGGTTGCGCGAACAAGTTCGAGTGTTAACCGCACTGGTTAAAAGGCTACCGCAAAAGAAATTTGTTAAAAGTTAATGCTCACCGTTCGAATCCAGCCAAAGGCGGGGGCCAAAGTTGCGGTTTAATAACGATCGAAAGTTACGACTTTCGATAGGGACAACAAAACGCTTATGGTAATTTAGCTCGTAAGTCATTTCGTTTTAGTAACAGCCGATTTATTAAGGACTTAATTGATACTGGTAAACATCTTTAGCGACGTCACGTTCATGTGACACTTTTAGCGTTGCTCAAAATTTTTGTACATTCGCATTAAAAAAAATTCGTTAGAGTCACTGTATAGAACAATTTCGCTCAAGATAACGTTAAAAATGAGTGAATTCTTAAAAAAGAAGGGTCCATTAATGAATTTTCCCTGCCAGTCTTGCCTATCCATCTAGATGACAACTGCATCTGACAGGTCAAATGTACATTATCGTCTGCTGTCACAATCAGCTACCGTATTTGTCACATTTTGCCTCGGTTTTGACAAAATTATAAAATACCGAAGGTGGCAAGCACCGACCAAAGGCTGCTTATTACTCTTGGTTGCATATTGATGATGCGTGAGTTTATTTCGTGTTGTAAACAGGTGACGCTATAGAGTATTATCTCGACATAAGTACCATAAACAAAGACAGAAAGGCGCCGCGTTGATAAACGGAAGAACTAACGTATATTTAATATACTACTACCACAACAAGCATAATGTGGTCACGAAGTGCCCTATGCAAAAATGCTATCAAACATGGTAAGCGTTGCAGTATTTCGTTCTGCTAGATACAACACTGCAGTAGATCATTTGCTTCCTAGTTTGTTTAGTAAGAATCGTTGCACGTAATGCACTAGCTTGCTTTTTTGTGAATCGTCATGATAGGTGTCATGTCTAATAGAATTGCAAAACGTGACCTTGCCCGTGATCCAAGGCCAACTGGTTGAACGTGCATCCGCGCAGACAGACGACTGCGTCGCGACCCATTGTCGCCAATAAGCACGCGACGACGTTCTCGTAGAACGAACGTAACGACGTTTGCCACTGCCGTGTTTCTGTTATCATATACATAACGAATGAACGAACGGTTTAACTCAAATAGGGGGCAAGAAACAAAATACATTTTTAGATGGCGGCTACCCCTTTTCTACCCTAAGACGGCTCGCTATATATATAGCTCTGATGATTACATATTTGTAACACTATACAAGTCGAAGTCATTAAGCCTATTGATTATAAAGCAAATACATCTTAGCCACGTCAAGGACACAGGGTAGCTGAGTTGGAAGAAGTCACTTAAAAATATATCGGAGGGAGCTATAAGTGCGTACTCGTCTGCGAAGAAATTCATTTGGTTATTATATAATTAAGATGACCATGCTCCGCGCTAGTAGTGATTATCTTTATGGTCTTAAAGTAATTTTTTATAGCTTATATATAAGGATAATTTTATTACCTTTTTTTCTGTCTGTACCCCATATAAAGTACATGTAAATGTTTCGATCCCGGCGTTTCACGTGAAATTAGCGAACGATGTGAAAGCTCTGGACTTTCACTTGACCACTCACTTCCATACATATATGTGTGACAACAATACCTCTAACGCTATTTGCTGCGGTGTCTGTGCTTTTAGTAGTGTCTACTCAAAAAAATGTAAGTCCTCAAACAAGATTTGCATATCTTATAGATAGTAATACACGCAAACGTTATGACAGGTAATTACGTTTCCGTGAACGTGAACCACTGCCCTATTCCTGTAAACGTTGAGCTTTTTTTTTATGATAAACTCAGTCACTGATAGTTCTTAGTTAGATTATAGGTCGTTTTCTTTTGACCTGTCAACCAAAGTATTCAAGTTTTCATTACGTTAATATAGTATACAGCATCTAAAATAGGGTGACAGGACTTTGGAATGAGACACTATTTCGATGATGATATAAATGACGCCACTCACGTTACCTAGTCGCCATGACTCTTGCACAAATTATGGGTCGAGAAGACTGCCGTCTGGTCCGTATATACCTATCAAACAAACAGATACACCGACGTGCGGTGACTCATGCCCAATAGATGTGCAGCGAAAGCATAGTCAGACTGCTGAATGCTATTATAACGACGGTTTAATATCTCAGCAGATTGGTTAGAGTTAGATATCGTGTTAAATGAGGTTACGTGACAAAATACGTGCAATTATACTATTTGCTAGTATCGCTTTTATAGTATAACCAGAGTGCTACCGTAAAACGATTACAACGACATTCATTTCAGTGATTTTTATTTTATTTCGTGAGCTTGGTTTCCAACTACGGCCACCGCCGCTGGAATTAATACTAAACAAGCTACTATTAACGCTATCGTATCCTAGATACAAACAAATGCGCGAACGAAGCCTGTTGAGTGAAGCTAGCAGGCACAGCTGAAGAAATTCATACTTTGGTTGGCCGTTTTTCGTTCCTAGCCTGTTTGTACTTTGCTAATTGGGATTGGCTTATCGGAAGGGGCGAACCTTTACGCTCGACGTTTTTCGAATGAGATTTCAATCAAGAACACTTTTTATTTCCTATATTATTCTATAAAACGATACCGTGGTTATAATATTTATAAGAGTGCGATTAATTAATAAGAACCTGACACAATGAACTTCCGTTTTTAGCTCGGTCGTCAGAGCGACGCAGTAGATAATAAATAACACAACATACCGCATCGTGACCGTTGATATTAATGAAGATCCTTTTTTTTTTTTTCAATTTCACGTTACTCCTCTTCGCTCAACTATTTTCCCCGTCTCAAGTTTATCGCCTGATAAATGCATTTCGCAAATGACTTTCCAGTCCAATGTATACCCCGCTTACAACACTTGAACGTGGTCTTTAAACTAAAGAAAAATCTATATGTAATTTTTGCTTTCAGCTAAAAAATACAGTTTTCTTCTTGGGCCTTAATATGTTTGTAAAAATACGTCTGGCCAACTTCTATACGCGATCAAACTTGCAGATTGTTTGGTTCCATTTAAACCCTTACGCAAGCAGTTGATACGGTTATCTATAGATTGACTGCGATGGTTGGGAATTGTGGCAAAACACCCTTTAGAACAAAAATGCAGTAAGGCACGAATCGATGCTAATTATAGTAGGAAGAAAAATAAATCTAGTTACGAAATGGCTTATCTATATAAATCTATCTGGTGAGAAGTGCTTTTTTAGCACCTGGCTTTCTTACTAGATATTGAAATAATCGCGGATCTCTAAAATATACTTATTTTGTTGCGAGTAAAATATAGCGCATGTTGATGTTATTATCCTTTGTCGACCGAAGAGGACAAAGTCTTACTTCTCTACTATGAAATCGAGCTTGAAAGCTTCATATAGCTCGAAACTAAATGCAGCCTGAATGTGTTTTCAGTTTTGTAATACATACGATACTAAAAACTTCGCCTCAGGCGATCGGCAAGCAGAACGACACAGAGTTTGTCTTCTTCAGATTTCTAACCCAAAGCACCTTACATGTTTCGAGGTTTAACAGGCAAAGACGCTACTATTGCATACAAGCATCACTGGGACAGATGTACTTGATTTATATTTTATCTATATTTGTTCTAAGAATTTCGCCAAAAATATTCCTACCCATTGCTGATTTGAATATGACTACGAGTTAGACGATCGATTGGGCGTATTCGACACGAACAACATTGTTTCAACATTCATTATGTCACAAGCTGTTGTTGTTTTGTCGCGTGAAAGCAGTTCGATCAAACTGGCATGGAGCGTCAGTTTTAACACGTGTAGCAATAGGTATTGTGCACGCCACAATATTGATGGTGTCTACGAATTGTTGCAATTTCTTTGGCCAGCCTGTTCATGTCTCGTATACGTGCTAAGTACGTAATAGTATAAATGAAGCTTTGTTTATTCAGAAAGGTTGTATCGTCTGTATTCGTAGTTTGAGCATATATAGTCAAAACAAACCCTCGTGTCACTGACCCCCCTTCGTTCCCCACTCTTCAGCCCTTTTTCCGTTCGGGTCCGCCCGGTGTGTTTCTGGCCAAAAGAACAAATAGACGAAAAATATGTAAACGACAGTAATAGTAGTAGTAACCAGAGTACCTATTAATATTTAGTAGTCAACTAGAAGGTCCACAATTGGCGAGCGAAAGATAATGCGAAAAAAAGCCGGTTAGGTAAAAATTGTTTGCTTTGCTCTTTGGCCGGCTGGGCTCTGCTGAGTTGGTTCCGATCAGTGACTTCGAATGATAATCATAAATAAGCATTATATAAATACCAATGGAGCGATTTCAGCTGCCACTGACTCTGTGCTACACAATACATAATAAGTACCACACAATAGTGTTAGTGGTATAATGATGTCGTTGCTTAGATACTGACGAAATGAGAACATGGAGATTTCGGAAAGATAACAAAGCAGACGCTCTTTAACATACACACGTGATAATAATAATAATAACAACAACAACAAAGCAGAATCGGTTCAGCTTGTGTACTTCTCGTGCCCACCAGATTTACGCTTATCCATTTTAATCAGTGGTATTACTTATACAATAATATTCTTTTGTACCGTTAATAGTGAATGGGATCACATGCGTCCCGCGTTACCGTTTATCCAAATCGGGTTTTGGTTCGCGATACTATTTATAAATAATAATCTCTCGCGTCTTTGCTCTATGTAAATATGCCTATTTACCGTGTACGATTTGCACACGATGGTGAACTTAAAAAGCAAAAAACAAAGTAGTTCTCTGCGGTAGCTAGATAACAACTCATATCTACACGTAGCTAAAGGGAAGAAGTCTTGTATGTTATCCATTCAGGGGGGTAACACTAGCTCAAGCTGGTAGATATATGTTTATTGGCGGAACTAGCCCTGCAGCAGTACAAGCACCCTAATCCATAAACGTGTTTGCTCAGCGTGCTTCTACGGCTGACTTTCTCCATTTGAAACAGCAAAAACATAGTTATCATTGTGTTTATAAACACTAAGGATGTGCGTGGATCATTGTCGAAGTGACATCACCCATCATTACGCATTCAAACTTTGTTCCCGGAGGCCGCCTTTGCGGGGGCAAATCAAGCCCGTTTGTGCTATTAGCTAATTAATCTTGCGAGACATAGTACGCGCTTAGCGGTCTATAAATAAAACTGCCTATATTGACCCCCTGCGGCCGTCGTTGCTGTTACATGTTTCAGGTTGAATTCTACATACAATAGACAAATGTAGGACTGAATGAGAAATTCAACACACTTACTTCGATAATTGAGTGTGACTGTTACGTTACACTAGGTGTGACTACGATATATGGCAATGCCTGGCTTCTACTCGGACCCAAACAAAAATACCACGTATTCTCTTAACAGCAACAATGATTGTGCCTGAAAATTTTGCAAACAAATAAAAGACATGAGGAAAGACATATAAGATATATAAATTGCCTATTGAAACGTTGATGAGAGCGAGTTGGCGACTTGCGCTGACCTATCTACGACCCTCTCTGTTATGTCCGTTTCTAGATGCATAAATCCGTAATAGAGGCGTGATATCATAATTGTTCTGCATAGAAACGTAGATTGCAGGTATTATTGGTGTTGCGGTCGTTGTTGTTGTGGCTGGCGCCGATGAAGTGGGTATCGGTCAAGACATGAACGACATTTTCTGGTGGACCTAATCTGGTTTACTCCGCGCTACCATATATTACAATGCTATGTACCATGTATTAGTGCGACTTCACTGATCGTTGTAAACAATTTTATTTGCATATTGACCTATCGGACGTTACAAACGTACCTGCCTGTTGCAAATTAACTCGCGGACAAAAAAAACGACGACTTAGAGACATAAAGAAAAAAAAAAGTAGCAAAAGAGGGCCAAAAAAATGCCGTTAAAATGATAAACGACAGCAACCGACTATAAGTATATAATATTTTGATGTCGTCATGATAGTTGTCGTCATGTTGATGGTAACGTCCTTCCTACTGTTGATTGGTCAGCTTGCCGGTCGGTGGCCTAATTAAAATGTTTTGGACACGTTTTCTGTCGTCGGATCTATAGCCATTATTGTCGCCATGTTGTTGTAACATAGTTATTTACCATTATCAGCCTTCGTTAGCAGTCATGCCAACGTAAATGTGCAGCGACAGCTCTTGCCTTTACTACAGGGCGAATTCTTTTCGGAGTGGTAACATAAAGGCAGGGACCTAGTGGATCCGTTAATCGAATTAAATGTTCTTTTTATTCTGACTGATTATAAATAACTGTATCTGTCTTCCTTATTCTGTTATACGGGGAAGTATCTCACAAAGATGCCATTCGTATACCCTTGTCAGACTCTTCCGCTCTTCTCAAAGCTTCTCATGCTACTCCGGCAAGCGCCTCTACGAGTATCAATAAGGACCAAGTTGAGCTGAGAAAGGGCTAATATTGGCGAGGTATTGGCGAGTACTAAAGTTAACTTCGATAATGAGCATGCGAAACACCTTCATTTAATGAAAATTGTGACCAAATGGAGCTCCCAAGATAACGCTCACCGTCATAGCGATCTCATTACACCTTGTAAAGTCACCTAAACTGCAGACGTTCTATATATATATATATATATATATATATATATATATATATATATATATATATATATGTCTCGAAAAATGTAGACACGGTTTGAATAATAGTAGCTTAAATTTACATTGAATTAATATTTGAAATATAAAAGAACCTGTATAGAATCGGTAATTTATATTATGAGCGCAGATTTTCAAAATGATCGCCGTTTTGGTTTATGGCTATTTATTTCCAACTTTCTACAAACATTTAAATTGTGTTGTGACGAACTCTTATGCGTTGGAATCTTTCTATGTTATCTGTTTTCTAAGAGAAACTCTATAAGTTTATGGGTAACAAATCTAGAGAAACGGCAGGGTATTTTATGGAACCTGTTTGTCCAACCGATCTATTAAAAAAATTCGCATCAATGTAAGCTTGTATCTAACAACAACACAGGCGCTCCATGCTGATAGCAATAAAATTCGTTATCTCCACTAAAGTCCTGCCGTGCTAAAATAGATTACTGCAGCAAACTTAAATGATTGGCACCAATCACTATACTATCAAAAACAATGTTTTATTTAATATTTTGTTTGAAATGCCCCGCCGCACCGAAACTTACATTTACATGGTGCTTTTGCTTAACATGCAGAGTCACAGTAGTCCATTACGTATAGTTACGTCAATTGATAGTGCCATTTAGTTTGAAAGTATCTTTAGATAATCTTCTTGAAAGCTGTGCCTTCTATCCACATTTTCCAAGCGTCGTTGGAAAAATTGTTTCCGTCAGTCCCGATCATCTTCATTGACTGTACGTACCATTTTTCGAATGTAACTTTTCATTTATAACATCCTAAAACGCGACGGACGCTTGATTCCAAGCTCACGACTTGATTGTGCCACCAACTTGTGGATTGTTCCACTATGATTTTCCAGTGCTCTCTGATTTTCTCACCACTGCTTCGTTCCTAATTCGCCTTTGCTTAATCGATCTAAATTCGTATTTGCATAAAACAAGTAACGACTCATGGCCCGAGTACGTCATACGTTTCAAGGTCATAACCTGCCGTAGGACGCAACTGTTTCCGTTACAATGGCCTGCTTCTACGTTCACAACGGCGCGCCTCCCATGTGGGGTGCGTGGATAAACACACAAATATAAAGGAGCTAAGAATGTACATAAATCCCAGTAAACAGATATATGAGCATTTTATCATTTTCTTTACTAGTAAAAGATCTCAGACTTTGTGAACGGGCCTTAGGGCCGTATTTTTTTCTAATACGAGTGAAAAGCGGAAACGAGAATATCTGCGCCAGCTGCTGTTGCTGGTACAAGGCCAAGGGCGACGCATATTTTGAACATAAAAATAGAAAACAAGCCTACTACAGTGGGACGGCGTGTTCACAGTATTCAACTATGACACGCTAGTATGGTAGAATAAACAACAGCTTTTACCCTACTACGGCAGCGGATAACCCAGCTCGAAAAAGAAGCGGACCACTTTTAATGAGCCAATCCGTCCGGTGCATATACATGGCCTTGAATCGCCGATCAACAACGGTAGCTGATAAAGAATTTTATAATGAATATGTTGCCGTCGCTGTTAGAATTACTAATATTCGTTATATGACTATTGTATACGCACGACTCGTTCATTTGCGCAACGTGTCATCGTGAAGGCTCGAGCGACGCTTAATACGAAACTGTGAACGCCAACTGGTCTATTTGTCGACCCGTTGCTTGACGTCGGCCCGAAGTGTTACACCACTGTGTGCATCCCGTACGCACTTAAAAATAGCACTTCTTATCGTTACTGTTGCCGTTATTCTTGCCACTGTGATTGGCGTTACTACTACTACCTGTCGTTGCTGTTGTTGCCGTAAGTTTCCGGCCAATTGAAAACAGTAGTGTCTATCGAACACAAGTAACGCCGTCTTCGTTACCCACTTTCCCTATACTGCGATTCAGATCAGCTGTGATCTGTGTCCTATAAACTGCCACAAACGCTCAAAAGTAGATAAAGAATATAATGACTATCATATGTGATTCGCGCATATATTTTATGGCCGTTTATTGTGGATTGTACGTATAACACATACAAAGTAATAAACAACATAAAGGACTGCCAGTCGTTAGCGAAAAAGATAGGGACAGTTGGCGATCTAACATAACACGACGCCGTCACCACCATCATCGGCGATCGCTCGACTGGTCTGCTCTGCCTATTCACTTAACGACCCCGCTATCGAAGCCTCCTTCATTTGTAGCCAATAGGATACTTTGTGTGTTGATATCATTTGCTGCTGCTAATGTTAACGTCCTTGCACCTAATATCACTTTTTTTCAATATGACGCATATTGGCGACGCGTTACTGTGAAGCGGCAGCATGCCGAGCTCGTTGCCTATATTAGCTTTGTTGTATTTGGCTTGTTTCAACGAAGTAGGAAACAAAGTCATCACCGTTCTACAACATCGAAGACGACGGCGGCAGCAGACGCATTTGTCAACCTGGACAATAACTAGCCAGTTGCGACACCGCGAAGGCGATAACCGATTCGTTCCTGTTGCAGCAGGAACAGCAGTACGCAAACGTAGCAAACGCGATTCGCCAGCGAACAGTCCCGTCCGAATAGAGCACAATCGGACCAGCATGGCAGCAGCAGCGATCTGAAATACGACTCAAGTAGAAGCTCTTGAGTCGCTTCCGCTAGCATAACTGATTACGATGTTGACTCATCCAACGGTGGGAACAACATGGAACGTTTACGCTTCGCGTAACGCCTTCCGAACGCTAGTTAACGCAACGTCAAGAGGTTTCTGCTTGACATGCAGTGTGTCTATATTTAACGAGTAACTACGCCACGATGCCACTATATAACAGACGTAGCGACGGAGAGTAGCGGTTCGTCATAACGGCTGTTTAGAGCTGGCGGTTTACGTGCTTTGTTGTTATTGTCTAGACTGGCCCATAGCCGAGAAGTACGGCAGCTGGCGTGGTCGTTGATCCGACAGCGTGTCACGATGGCAGAGCATCCCTTTGTGATCAACAAGACCACCGGTACCCCCTCGCCTGGGGGATGCGTGCGCCAGTTAAGCCAGTAAGATCGCTGCTAATCGTTCACGTATTCTGTAGTTGATGTATAGAAAGGTCATTGCAGTGGTAAAATTGCGTTATAGCTGGCGATATTTCCAGTCGCCAATAGACAGTAATTAAAGTCTAATAGTACTAGAAAAATGACTGCCAAGTTGTCTGGGTCTGTAACAGATACGCATACGTACATATCTATATTATATCTTTATGGGTGTTCGGCGCTAATATCGCTGTTGTTACCTTGTGCCTGTTTAGAATCGCCTTTGTCTACCGTCAACGGCGCAACCCCCGACGTCGGATGAATGTAATATCTGCCCACCGAACAAAGGATCAAGCCATAATGGATTGGTCTTGGTTTATTCAGGATCGATTCTGAGTGTCAAACGGTTACTGATGTGAGAACTTGAATGTTGCCGTTCATTAATATGGTAGCGGTTCTGCTTTGGTGGTTTAAAACTTCAGTTCTGGTGACAAAGCATACTAATGGCAGAGCGTTGAATTTTCGATTCGATCGAAGCTTTTAGCCAACTGTAAATAAACAATAAATAGTAGAAACAAAGCAAAACTTTTTCACCTTGCCAATCTCTTACTAAATATAACGTGAAATTAATTAATAGCGAAACAGTTGAATCGTTTACGAGATTCGATCACATCGTGTCCGCCATGGCTCAGTCTCAACGAAGATCTCATTTATTTATTCCATCAGATGGTAACTGTACAGAGCTGTACAATGTACCAAACT